CCCCAAACCATATAATATTGGCCCATGGACCCCAAGGGAAGAGTCAGCCACCGAACCGGTAACCTCCAGTGAAACTGACACCAGGACACGCCCAGCAATGCGAAAGCGACAAAGGACAAAGTCCCGGGCCTGGGTTTAGGGTTTAGGGTTTAGGGTTTAGGGTTTAGGGTTTAGGGTTTAGGGTTTAGGGTTTAGGGTTTAGGGTTTAGGGTTTAGGGTTTAGGGTTAGGGTTTAGGGTTTAGGGTTGAGGGGCTCGGGGTGCTCGGGTCTTCTGAGGGTTTTTAGGGCCTTTTAGGGGTTTTTTAGCAACCGCATAGCTGGACGAACCGCTCAGCAGGTCTCCGGGGGTCTCACATCATTCAATCGCCCTCTCTCTCTCGCTCTCCCTCTCCCTCTCCCCCTCCCCCTCCCCCTCCCCCTCCCCCTCACCCCTCTCTCTCTCTCTCTCTCTCTCTCTTTCTCTCTCTCGCTCACTCACACACTCACGCACACACTCACGCACACACTCACTCACTCTCTCTCTCTCTCTCTCTTTCTCTCTCTCTCTCTCATTCTCTCTTTCTCTCTCTCTTTAAAGGGTTTTTTGGAGAGATAGGGTTTGGGATTTTTGGGGCTTCTGAAGTTTTCAGGGTTCAGACTTTGTTTAGACACCCACTCGCGCGAACAAGCCAGGTGAGCTTCAGTGGCAGGCAATTTGACCCATTTTCTGGTCACACAACACAAATAATTGAAACCTCCAATGTTAGACTTATCCTAAGCTTCTTGACCCTCATACACCTTGTTCATCTTGCCTGTCGTTTTAGAACAAACATACACGAAAAGCCGCCTACACCCTAAACTCTAAACCCCGTCTTCTTCACGCATAAAGTGGCAATCATGTCTGATTGTGTCTAGCTAAGCATGGGGTTGAAAAGAAAGGCTTCGGCAGCTTCGCAAACTTAGGGTTTAGGGTTTAGGGTTTAGGGTTTAGGGCTTAGGGTACCTGAGTCGAATGAGTATCTTTGAGTAGTTACGGCTTGAAGGGGTTTCTGGTTGAGTTGCAATCAAGAATTCTGGAGGAGGTGAGGCTTCATAGCTCCTTCCTGATCTTCATCCTGTCTGTCATCATTGGTCTTACGAATTTCTCATGATACGGTTAGTGATATCGCTATGGTTAGCTCTAATGTCGTATCCTGATTAGTCTGGACCCCTCCAATAATGAAAAGTTTTCCAAAAATTATTCAGGAGACAAAAACTCGATTGCCCCCCCACAATAAAGTAAAGTTTTTCGGGCATGGGTTTCGGAAGAGAGAAAGAAAGAGAACAAGATGATGAAAGAAAACTGTGAGCTTTTAATTACTGAGCTTACCGGAGCTTTCCTGAGCTCTTACCTTTAGCTTTAATTACTGAGCTTACCTGAGCTTTCCTGAGCTTTCCTGAGCTGAGCTCATCTGAGCTTACCTGAGCTTAATTACCTAAGAGGAGAGGGAGAGGAAGAGGAGAGGGAAGAGGAGCGAAGAGGAAATGAAGAGGAGCCGGTGGGGGGGGCCCGGGGCCGAAAATTAGTTTGGGGGGGTCCCTTTTTTTGGTGACACTATTGCGGGGGTGGATTTAGTTTGGGGGGGGGGGCCCCCCCACACTAATCAGGATGCCACATTATTGCTCTCGAAATGGTGCCTTGTGGCTGCTTTTGCGATTGTTATACTGTAATAGACATTGGTACGTGTACTAATTAATTATCATGCTTGTCTTGACTGGTTCAAGCCTTAGTATTCTCATATTGTTCTTTAGCTACTACAATTAATAATACAGTTCGAAGCACTTTGCTTTGACTGTGGGGATGCTTACCGGAACTACTTCAGTTTTCTACTTACTACGTACGATTTCTATTCCGCGTATTTCTGCCCCCCCCCCCCCCCCCCCCCCACCCCACCTCTAAACCCTAAACCATAAACCCTAAACCCTAAACCCTAAACTCTGAACCCTAAACCCTAAACCCTAAACCCTAAACCCTGAACCCTAAACCCTAAACCCTAAAACCCTGAAAATAATTTCAGTTCTGCGGCAGGTGCGTTGCAGCAGCGCCCTCCAGCTTCATCGCATGGAACACTGGTTGGATACCTGCTGAAGGGTTTAGGGTTTAGGGTTTAGGGTTTAGGGTTTAGGGTTTAGGGTTTAGGGTTTAGTGTTCAGGGTTCACCCCGCAGCGAATGAAACTAGTGGCCCTATGACTTGCTTCTGCTGTGTTGCTCACTGGGATAATCCCTAAACCCTAAACCCTAAATCCTAAACCCTAAACCCTAAACCCCGGGAGTGACTACCCAGTGCATGGCCAAAAGTGCTCAAAGACCGTCATTCAGAGTACGCGGAAAGGGTCCCAGAACAAGAGTCCTGTCCTGTGGCCATCTGCAAGTCTTCGGGACTTTTCTCAAATCTTAGTTGCTGAGTTCATGAGCCCCCCACAAGTGTACACTTTCAGTTCTATAAGGGATTATAGTATCCCAAAAAGGTGCCAAGTCTACTCACTCAGCTACGAAGAGGTTGGAATACAGGCTCTGGGCGGAAGATTGCAGCACCTGTCCAAAGACGTTCAGGAAGCATTTGGTCTACGAAAGAACTTCCCTAAACCCTAAACCCTAAATGGTACAGTGCCTGACACATGAGCTTCCACGACGAGCTTTGCAAAGATGGATGCCAAGAAGGCCATGATCCTTTGCAGGCTTGCCGAGGTTGTGCACAGGCTTCTGGGTTTAGGGGTTTAGGGATTAGGGTCTAGGGGGGTTTGGGGGTTCAGGGGTTGGGCGTCCTGTCTTGCAATATGCATATCTATGCATATGTCTATGCATATATATATACACACAATGAAATTGCTACGATCTTATATTGCATACAATGTTGAATCTTCTGCTCAAGCTCCTCAATTTACATACAGAGATATTACCTTCTGGCGAATTATCACTGAAGTCCCTAAACCCTAAACCCTAAACCCTAAGCCCTAAGCCCTAAGCCCTAAACCCTAAACCCTAAACCCTGGAGGCTTCGCGTGCAGGCCAGCGGAGCTCGGCCGGGGCAGATCAGTCATTTAAAGAGACCGCGGGGCGCCTTTTTTGAGGCTTTGTAAGGTTTGGGACGAACTCCCTTTTGTAAAGGGTTTAGGGTTTAGGGTTTAGGGTTCTTAGAGAGTTTTAGGTACACCCTAAACGCAAGACCGCAATCAGACTTAACTCTCCAATCCTCGCAGCAAAGTGGCAACGTCTGCTGGGTGAACTTGCTGCTCATCTGCTCGTAGCTCCACAAAACCCCACCTACAGCTTGCAGTTTCAGGGTACTTGTTTAGGGTTTCGGGTTATAACCCAACTATAGCGGTACTCATGCCCCACTGCTAGTATGGTTCTTCATAACCCACAAAACCCCAGTTACAGCAGCGCGTGGCACCCTCGAATGGGCTGTCAGGCCCTGATCATCATGTCCGGACACGTCCAGGTTGCCTTCAGTAAGGCCATCAACCGGACATCACTGTTCTCAACACAACCCTAAACCCTAAACCCTAAACCCTAAACCCTAAACCCTAAACCTTAAACCATGAACCCTAAACCCTAAACCCCTCGGGCAACCGGCCTAGAGGGGCGCCAAAGGCGACCGACACGCCCGCAGCGCAAGCAGCGCTAATCCTCGAATTCTATCCCAGTTTTTTTTGGGTTTAGGGTTTAGGGTTTAGGGTTTAGGTTTTAGGGTTTAGGGTTTAGGGTTCGCGGAATTGAGGCTATGATACCTAACATGTCCGTACACACCTGAATAGTCAGATTCGTCAGCCCCTGGGGGGCATTGAAGGGGGACGGTTCAGCGACAGCTTCCTGAAATCGCACGCCATGGAACACTCCACGCCCTAAACCATCCCGCCTGATGCATTATTGCTTGCGGTAGGGGGGGGGGGAGGAGCAGGGGAGTTGGGGGTTTAGTGCTTTGGGGGTCCAGGTTGAGGACAACATTGGGGGGGGGGGGGGATGTGGGAGTGGTGGGGAAGTTAGGGTAAAGAGCTCTATCCTTCTGTCCAAGGTTATGGAGGATGCCAACGACAATGGTGAAGATGATCTTGATGGGACCCAGTACAACAACCACTGCTCCGCACCATGTGCGCGAGGTTTGTGGCCCGGTTAACCTGACAGAAAATTGGACCTCAGAACCCTTTAAAGAAGGTAAGGGACCATGGGGGGGGGTTTACGAAAATACGGGACCCCGAATACAGACTCAAAGAAGGTAAGGGACCATGGGGGGGGGTTTACGAAAATACGGGACCCCGAATACAGACTCCCAAATACTAGGACAGGATCCCAAGGTACCTCCATTATCGTAAAACCCCCCATATCAAACCCTAAACCCTAAACCCTAAACCCTAAACCCTAAACCCGAAACCCTTGAAGGGACCATGTAACTTCAGGCAAGGCTCAGCTCTCGCCGGTTGGCCTCGTTGCCCATACTCTTGCTGCCGCCTCAGGTGTCCGACTTGAGGTTTAGGGTTTAGGGTTTAGGGTTTGGGGTTTAGGGTTTAGGGCTAGGGTTTAGGGTTGAGTGTTTCGGCTTCAGGTAGAAACCGAAACCCTGTAAGCCCGTAAAGCCCTCTAAACCAGGAAGGAGCTTGGAGTTTCGACGTGTGCTCTTCTTCCAACAGGAGCACGAAGCCTTCCTTCTTTTTTCTGGGTTAGGGTTTAGGGTTCAGTTGCCTCTTAAACCCCTCTGAACAATATTCCTATATATGATCCCCTTAAACCGAATAAGGGAAAGTTAAACGTGTTCCGAAGTTCTATATCTTCATTTTCTAAGTTGCCCAGGAATCGCTGTCACATTTCTCACATACAAAATACTATATCTGAATATACATTTTCTATTTAAAAAAAGAAGAACTTGCTCTCTTGATTTCTTCTTTCTTTGCACATTTTCTTAAGAATCAAAGGCTTGAACTTCATGGCTTTAGGGTTGAGGGGCTTGACCCCAACCCCCCCACCCCCCCCCCCCCCCCCCCCCCCCCCCCCCCACCCCCCCCTCCCCACCCCCCCCCCCCCGTGTGCAGCTTAAATAGGGTCTATTTGGAAGCTGAGACTCGTGTTTTAAAGAGGAAATAAGGCCCCAAAACGTATACTTATTTACAAGAGACAACTTCCAAATAGACCCTATTATCGTTTCTGGGGGGTCTGGGGCAAGGAATTAAATAATTTAAATAATTTAAATCCGAAAAGGGGGGGGGGGCAGGCCCCACCGGGCCCCCTCCCCCTCCCAGAATTAAATAATTTAAATAATTTAAATCCTGAACACCCCTTTCGGATTTAAATTATTTAAATTATTTAATTCTGGGAGGGGGAGGGGGCCTGGTGGGGCCTGCCCCCCCCCCTTTTCGGATTTAAATAATTTAAATTATTTAAATTATTTAAATTATTTAAATTATTTAAATTATTTAAATTATTTAATTCCGGGGGGGGGGAATTAAATAATGTAAATAATTTAAATCCGAACCACCCCTTTCAGATTTAAACTATTTAAATTATTTAAATTACCCCCCTGGAATTAAATAATTTAAATAATTTAAATTTTCCCCCCCTTTTCGGATTTAAATTATTTAAATTATTTAAATTATTTAAATTATTTAAATTATGTAAATAATTTAATTCCGGGGGGGGGGGGAATTAAATAATTTAAATATTTTAAATCCGAACCCCCCCTTTCAGATTTTGTTTTTAGTTTTTCTTAGTTTTTCTTAGTTTTTTTTTAGTTTTTTTTAGTTTTTTTTTTTTTGTTTTTTTTTAGTTTTTTTTGTGTTTTTTTTTTTTTTTTTTTTTTTTTTTTTTTTTTTTTTTTTTTTTTTTTTTTTTTTTTTTTTTTTTTTTTTTTTTTTTTTTGTTTTTTTTATTTTTTTTTTTTTTTTTTTTTTTTTTTTTTTTTTTTTTTTTTTTTTTTTTTTTTTTTTGTTAAATTATTTAAATTATTTAATTCCCCCCATGGAAATTAAATAATTTAAATAATTTAAATAATTTAAATAATTTAAATAGTTTAAATCCGAAAAGGGGGGGGGCCAGGCCCCACCGGGCCCCCTCCCCCTCCCAGAATTAAATAATTTAAATAATTTAAATCCTGAACACCCCTTTCGGATTTAAATTATTTAAATTTTTTAATTTTGGGAGGGGGAGGGGGCCTGGTGGGGCCTGGCCACCCCCCCTTTTCGGATTTAAATTATTTAAATTATTTAAATTATTTAAATTATTTAAATTATTTAAATTATTTAAATTATGTAAATAAATTAATTCAGGGGGGTGAATTAAATAATTTAAATAATTTAAATCCGAACCCCCCCTTTCAGATTTAAATTATTTGAATTATTTAATTCCCCCCCTGGAAATAAATAATTTAAATATTATAAATAATGTAAATAATTTAAATCCGAAAAGGGGAGGGGATGCCAAATTTTGCCGGGCAGTCTGCGGGCAAAATTTGGCCAAATCGAGCGCGATAGTTTAATAATTTTCGGGACTCAGAAGGCGAGGCTCGTTGGCCAAATTTGCCGGGCAGCCTCCGCTTCTTCTACCGGGCAAGATTGGCCCAAATCGAGCCGCGCATTCGAAGGGGCAGCCCGATTTGGCAAATTTTGCCCGGAGGCTGCCCGGCAAAATTTGGCCAAATCGAGCCGCGCCTTTCTGGAGGCCCAAAATTATTTAAACTATCGCGGCTCGATTTGGCCAAATTTTGCCGGGCAGTCTGCGGGCAAAATTTGGCCAAATCGGGCTGCTCGTCGTACGCGATGAGAAATGCGCGGCTCGATTTGGCCAAATTTTGCCCGGCAAGATTTGGCCAAATCGGGCCCCTGGACATTGAAATGAAATTGATTTTTTAAATTCCCCGATACTAAATCACGAGCCCGGGCCTCCCCCTCAATACTAAATTACGAGCCCGGGTCTCCCTTCTCTTCTCTTGTTCTCTTTTAAATCTCCAAAATCACACCAAAGGAAGCTTCTTTTCCTTATTGAATGAAAAAGAAAAAAAAGAAAAGAGATAGGTAAAGACACTGAAGAGCTCCACTGCCTGTTGTTTCATTCCTTTCCTCTCTTTCTATGTGTTGTTGTCCTTGTCGTTTCAGTAAGCTAGCAAAATAAGGGCAAGGGGGCTTTAAATTATTAAAAGTATTTAATTCCACCCTGGAATTAAATAATATAAATAATTTAAATAATTTAAATCCGAAAAGGGGGGGGGCCAAAAGTGCCCGGAGGCTGCCCGGCAAAATTTGGCCAAATCGAGCCGCGATAGTTTAAATAATTTCGGGCCTCCAGAAAGGCGCGGCTCGATTTGGCCAAATTTTGCCGGGCAGCCTCCGGGCAAGATTTGGCCAAATCGAGCCGCGCATTTCTCATCGCATACGAAGGGCAGCCCGATTTGGCCAAATTTTGCCCGGAGGCTGCCCGGCAAAATTTGGCCAAATCGAGCCGCGCCTTTCTGGAGGCCCGAAATTATTTAAACTATCGCGGCTCGATTTGGCCAAACTTGGCCGGGCAGTCTGCGGGCAAAATTTGGCCAAATCGGGCTGCTCGTCGTACGCGATGAGAAATGCGCGGCTCGATTTGGCCAAATTTTGCCCGGCAAAATTTGGCCAAATCGGGCCCCTGGACATTGAAATGAAATTGATTTTTTAAATTCCCCGATACTAAATCACGAGCCCGGGCCTCCCCCTCAATACTAAATTACGAGCCCGGGTCTCCCTTCTCTTCTCTTGTTCTCTTTTAAATCTCAAATCACACCAAAGGAAGCTTCTTTTCCTTATTGAATGAAACAGAAAAAGAAGAAAAGAGATAGGTAAAGACACTGAAGAGCTCCACTGCCTATTGTTTCATTCCCTTTCCTCTCTTTCTATGTGTTGTTTTCCTTGTCGTTTCAGAAAGCTAGCAAAATAAGGGCAAGGGGGCTTCCTGAAGAGGAGAGAGGGCACCTATTTATTTAATTATAGAGGGAAAAGCGAGAGACAAGGAAGGGACAGATGATAGATAAAGAAGAGTGCTATCCGTCTCCTTGTTTCTTGTGTCTTCTCTTCTTTTCAGTTCATCATATTCCTCTTTTCGGCCTGTCTCTTCTGCTCTTTTCCTTACCCTTCTCCTTTTCAAGTTCTTCCTTTTTCGTTTTTCTGTTTCGAAAAGAAAGAGGGAAGGGAGAGAGAAGGGAGAGAGGATAGATAAAGAAGAGTGCCATTTTCTTTGCGCCTTGTTTTGTCTCTCCATCTTCTTTGTTCATCTCTCTGTTCTATTCTTTTCTTGGCTCTTCCCATTAGAATTGTGTTCCTTTTATCTCTCCTCTCTCCTTCTCTTTCCCTTCTCTTCTCCTGTTCCCCTTTAAATGACAAAAACACGAGAAAGGAAGAACAAGAGAGGAATGGAGGCCCTTTTCCTGAATTCTCCTGTTGCAATGAATAAGGAAAAGAGCATAGGAGATAAGGAAGGGAATTGTGGGCGATGGAACGGGTGTCCTTTTTGATAGTTTTCTGCATCTTCAAGGAAGAAAAAGGACACCCGCCCAAGAAGGAAAAGTAACATAAGAGATAGGGAGGAAATTGAAAAGCTCCTCTCTTTACCTAGTCATTCCCTGTCCTCTCTTCTTATTTGTTGTTTTTCTTATTCGCTTCAAAAAGCAAAATAACAAAATAAGGGAAAGGCGATTTCCTGAAGAGGAAGAAGGGCGCCTACCTGTGAATAGCAAGGTTGATTTTTTCTAATTAGGGAGAGACTTGCCCCGCCTGAGCCTCCCTGGCCTGCTTGTTGTGGCCACATTCCGGTACAGTTGCGCTTCCAGAAAAATGGCATCCTTGTTATCTCCTCTCACTTCCCTTTCCCTTCTCTCCTTCTGTTTCCTTCTGACTGATAAACCACAAGAAAGGAACTTGTATGATAAGGCAGTGGAAGGGTAAGCAGAGGGTGACTCCTGGCATCCATACTTCCATACCCCTCCTCTCGGCCTATCTCTTCTGTTCCTTTCCTTACCCTTCTCCTTCTCATAGTTCTTCCTTTTTGTTTTCTTATTTCGAAAAGAAAGATGGCAGGGAGAGATAAGGAAGAGAGGATAGATAAAGAGTGAGTGCCATCTTCTCTGCGCCTTGTTTTGTCTCTCCCTCTTCTCTATTCATCTCTCTTCTATTCTTTTCTTTGCTCTTCCCATTAACAATGCAATCCTTTTGTCTCTCCTCTCTCCTTCTCTCTCCCTTCTCTTCTCCTGTTCCCCTTTAAATGACAAAAACGCAAGAAAGGAAGAACAAGAGGGGAATGGAGGCCATGTTCCTTTCTTTTCCAATGGATGGGGAAAGTGAGCGGGGTTGGCTCCTTGTCCGTAGACCCTCCCCACGCTGCAGCAAATCCCTCCTCTCGCCCTATCGCCTCTGTTCTTTTCCTTGTTCCCAAACGGAAAAAGAAAATGGGTTCCTTTACATGTTCATTGTTCTTCCTTTTGTTTTTTATTTGAAAGGGAAAGATAAGAAAGAGAGGAAAGAAGAAAACGAGCACCATCTTCTCTTTGCCTGATTTTGCACCTCCCTCTCCTGTCTTCATTTCTCTTCCATGATTTTCATTGCTCTTCCCATGAAAATTGTTTCCTTTTGATCTCTCCTCTCTCCTTTCTCTCTCCCTTCTCTTCTCTTGTTCTCTTTTGAATCTCAAAATCACACCAAAGGAAGCTTCTTTTCCTTATTGAATGAAAAAGAAAAAGAAGAAAAGAGATAGGTAAAGACACTGAAGAGCTCCACTGCCTATTGTTTCATTCCCTTTCCTCTCTTTCTATGTGTTGTTTTCCTTGTCGTTTCAGAAAGCTAGCAAAATAAGGGCAAGGGGGCTTCCTGAAGAGGAGAGAGGGCACCTATTTTTTTAATTATAGAGGGAAAAGCGAGAGACAAGGAAGGGACAGATGATAGATAAAGAAGAGTGCTATCCGTCTCCTTGTTTCTTGTGTCTTCTCTTCTTTTCAGTTCATCATATTCCTCTTTTCGGCCTGTCTCTTCTGCTCTTTTCCTTACCCTTCTCCTTTTCAAGTTCTTCCTTTTTCGTTTTTCTGTTTCGAAAAGAAAGAGGGAAGGGAGAGAGAAGGGAGAGAGGATAGATAAAGAAGAGTGCCATTTTCTTTGCGCCTTGTTTTGTCTCTCCATCTTCTTTGTTCATCTCTCTTTTCTATTCTTTTCTTGGCTCTTCCCATTAGAATTGTGTTCCTTTTATCTCTCCTCTCTCCTTCTCTTTCCCTTCTCTTCTCCTGTTCCCCTTTAAATGACAAAAACACGAGAAAGGAAGAACAAGAGAGGAATGGAGGCCCTTTTCCTGAATTCTCCTGTTGCAATGAATAAGGAAAAGAGCATAGGAGATAAGGAAGGGAATTGTGGGCGATGGAACGGGTGTCCTTTTTGATAGTTTTCTGCATCTTCAAGGAAGAAAAAAGGACACCCGCCCAAGAAGGAAAAGTAACATAAGAGATAGGGAGGAAATTGAAAAGCTCCTCTCTTTACCTAGTCATTCCCTGTCCTCTCTTCTTATTTGTTGTTTTTCTTATTCGCTTCAAAAAGCAAAATAACAAAATAAGGGAAAGGCGATTTCCTGAAGAGGAAGAAGGGCGCCTACCTGTGAATAGCAAGGTTGATTTTTTCTAATTAGGGAGAGACTTGCCCCGCCTGAGCCTCCCTGGCCTGCTTGTTGTGGCCACATTCCGGTACAGTTGCGCTTCCAGAAAAATGGCATCCTTGTTATCTCCTCTCACTTCCCTTTCCCTTCTCTCCTTCTGTTTCCTTCTGACTGATAAACCACAAGAAAGGAACTTGTATGATAAGGCAGTGGAAGGGTAAGCAGAGGGTGACTCCTGGCGCGTGGACCGGTCCATACTTCATCATACCCCTCCTCTCGGCCTATCTCTTCTGTTCCTTTCCTTACCCTTCTCCTTCTCATAGTTCTTCCTTTTTGTTTTCTTATTTCGAAAAGAAAGATGGCAGGGAGAGATAAGGAAGAGAGGATAGATAAAGAGTGAGTGCCATCTTCTCTGCGCCTTGTTTTGTCTCTCCATCTTCTTTGTTCATCTCTCTTTTCTATTCTTTTTCTTGGCTCTTCCCATTAGAATTGTGTTCCTTTTATCTCCTCCTCTCTCCTTCTCTCTCCCTTCTCTTCTCCTGTTCCCCTTTAAATGACAAAAACGCAAGAAAGGAAGAACAAGAGGGGAATGGAGGCCATGTTCCTTTCTTTTCCAATGGATGGGGAAAGTGAGCGTGGTTGGCTCCTTGTCCGTAGACCCTCCCCACGCTGCAGCAAATCCCTCCTCTCGCCCTATCGCCTCTGTTCTTTTCCTTGTTCCCAAACGGAAAAAGAAAATGGGTTCCTTTACATGTTCATTGTTCTTCCTTTTGTTTTTTATTTAAAAGGGATAGATAAGAAAGAGAGGAAAGAAGAAAACGAGCACCATCTTCTCTTTGCCTGATTTTGCACCTCCCTCTCCTGTCTTCATTTCTCTTCCATGATTTTCATTGCTCTTCCCATGAAAATTGTTTCCTTTTGATCTCTCCTCTCTCCTTTCTCTCTCCCTTCTCTTCTCTTGTTCTCTTTTGAATCTCAAAATCACACCAAAGGAAGCTTCTTTTCCTTATTGAATGAAAAAGAAAAAGAAGAAAAGAGATAGGTAAAGACACTGAAGAGCTCCACTGCCTATTGTTTCATTCCCTTTCCTCTCTTTCTATGTGTTGTTTTCCTTGTCGTTTCAGAAAGCTAGCAAAATAAGGGCAAGGGGTCTTCCTGAAGAGGAGAGAGGGCACCTATTTTTTTTATTATAGAGGGAAAAGCGAGAGACAAGGAAGGGACAGATGATAGATAAAGAAGAGTGCTATCCGTCTCCTTGTTTCTTGTGTCTTCTCTTCTTTTCAGTACCCCTCCAGAAAATTCAAATGGCCTCCTTGTTGTCTCTCCTCTCTCACTTCCCTTGCCCTTCTCTCCTTCTGTTACCTTTCTACTAATATAACACAAGAAAGGAACTTGTATGATAAAGCAGTGGAAGGGTAAGCAGAGAGTGACTCCTTGCGCGTGGACCTCGCCCATACTTCATCATATCCCTCTTTTCGGCCTGTCTCTTCTGCTCTTTTCCTTACCCTTCTCCTTTTCAAGTTCTTCCTTTTTCGTTTTTCTGTTTCGAAAAGAAAGAGGGAAGGGAGAGAGAAGGGAGAGAGGATAGATAAAGAAGAGTGCCATTTTCTTTGCGCCTTGTTTTGTCTCTCCATCTTCTTTGTTCATCTCTCTTTTCTATTCTTTTCGTGGCTCTTCCCATTAGAATTGTGTTCCTTTTATCTCTCCTCTCTCCTTCTCTTTCCCTTCTCTTCTCCTGTTCCCCTTTAAATGACAAAAACACAAGAAAGGAAGAACAAGAGGGGAATGGAGGCCCTTTTCCTGTATTCTCCTGTTGCAATGAATACAGAAAAGAGCATAGGAGATAAGGAAGGGAATTGAGGAGCTCCTTTCGCTACTTTCTTATGCCCTTTCCTTTGTATCTACCACACAAAAACACCACTCTCAGCTTCCAAGAATACTCTCGTGGAGACGCATTGGTTAGTCTAAAAACCCGAGTCTCAGCTTCCAAATAGACCCTATTTAAGCCACCCACCCCCCCCCCCCACTTCAAGATGGCTTCGAGGGTTTAGGGTTTGGGGTTTAGGGTTTAGGGCTTTTACTACAAGGTGAGATATCTGAGAAGTAGCTACTGTTGGCAGGATTCGGAATCAAGGTTTCGGGGATGTGGGGATGACTACTACTACTACTTGCTTGAAACCGCCCCAAAAAGGAAAACAATCCTCCTGAAAAGGGTAATACAGAGATTACTTTCCTTCATTTTTTCGGGGTTCTTAAGCAACTAGTAAAGACAAGATGTTCTCTGGATCATGGCTTTCAGGGTTGTGGCTTCTGGCGTTATCCGACATCCCCAGGTTTATCGGGTTTCTAGGGTTCATGTGAAGTAGGGTTTCTATTTCTTGTACCCCCAAAAGGACACCAAATATATACACTCACCAATCTTAAAAAGGAACCCTTATATACACTCACCAAGAACAGTGATATAAACCCTGCTTCATATCGGGTATGTGAGACGCTGCTCGAAGGCAGCCGCGGCGCAGCGCGACGCCAAGTCGGCCCAGCACGCGGCCACGTGGACAACCTTGACTGAAAATCTGAGGGTTTAGGGTTTGGGGTTTAGGGTTTAGGGTTTAGGGTTTAGGGTGACTGAAAACAAAAATTGGTGGGTTTCCACATGCGAGGGCTCCCTGTTGGGGTCCTGAAGATGCAACATTTGGGATACATAGGGGTTGCCCCCTAGTTTAGGGTTTAGGGTTTAGGGTTTAGGGATACCTGGGGGTTACCCCCCTAGTGTGGGAAGGCCCAGGTCAAGGTATCTTGAGGTATCAAAGGGGTAAGCATTCTTGGAGGTTCAGGGCACGTATTAGCCAATTAATTATCCGGACTTATAACCCACTTGTAAGCCCCTTCAGTGCCCTAATATGGTTAGAAGTACACTTATTAACCAAATATAACTGTACTTACAACCCACTTATAAGTACAGTTATAATTGGTTAATAAGTACTGCGAACCTCCAAGTTTGGTTGTGCCAAAGCTGGACTTGGGCTTCCCTTTCTGCTCACCTTAGTAGCCCAGTAGCCACTATTGTAATAAGGGCACTGTTGTTTTTCGGTTGGTTTAGGGCTTAGGGCTTAGGGCTTAGGGTCTAGGGTTTAGGGTTTAGGGTTTAGGGTTTAGGGTTTAGGGTTTAGGGATTTTTTGGTTTAGGGTTTAGGGTTACTTTACAAGGGAACCTTGAACCATTAAACGGGTCAAGGGTGCCACTGGGCTACCATACTGTAGCGATGCAATGTCTGAAGGTGGCGGGAGTTGGATGCGCAGCTGGAGGCTGCAAAAAGCCTAAGCCCTAAACCCGTACACCCGAACTCACCCGAACTCTAAACCCTGAACCCTATAAAGCCTGACCCCTAAACCCTCAACCCTGAACAGACCTTGCGCTTTTGATCTGTGCACCGAACTTTTGAGAGATGAGAACCTGAGCGCAAGTCTCAAGTTTTAGGACAGGGCATGGAAGGCCGCGACTCGTCGAATGCCGTCCGATGCACACTCCGTGGGTGCCCAGGTCCAAAGTTAGAGCCCCTGCTTGCGCACGGGAGACATAAAGAAGCCGTTCAGGGTTTACGCAACGACTGGGATGTGCCATGTGAAAAGTAGCTCAGGGCCGCGTACTCACGCCTAAACCCTAAACCCTAAACCCTAAACCCCAGATCCTACACCCTAAACGATTCACGACCCGTCCCAGCAAGCCTTCATCTCGAGGGGCCCCCCACACTCCACTTCAGCCAAAGGTACAGCCCCCTGCGCATCCAGAAACAGCTGCGAGGCCTGACAACTGATTGGCAGTGCAACTCCCCAAGCCTCACTTCTTTTATGTTTTTTCTTTGTTTGGGGCGGGGGACAATTTTGATCAGGATTTTCCGGATTCCTCGTGCTTCTCGGTGTCGGTTCCACCCGGGGGGGTGGGGGTCAGGGTTTAGGGTTCCAGGTTTAGGGCCTTCGGGTTTAAGGATGTGGGTGTTAGGCTTTAGGTGGGAGTTCGCATACTGAGACCGGGCTTTGATGTTTTTGGGTATAGTAAGGGGACCCCCAAGGATGCTACGCAGCATTCTGAAGGTATTGCGGGGACCCCTCACAGCATTTAGGGAAAGACCCGAATCTCCTAAAAACCCGTCAGCTCGGGACCTTTCGTTTGGAGAAGTTTCATGTCATCGGGGGCTTTATAGGGTTTAGAGTTTAGGGTGTTAACCAGGACTGCAATGTGACAGACAAGACACAACCCTCAAGGAAAACTAAGAGCTTGAGTGGGGCGCGCTCTGGCAGAGCCAAAGTCCTTAAAGCCACGATGCCCCCACAGTCCACCCCCCCAAAACACCCCCCCCTCACCCCTAACCCCCCCACCCCCCCCACCCCCCCCACCCCCCCCACCACCCCCACCCCCCCCCCCCCCCCCCCAAACTCCGAAGCCTAAGCTGCTTCCTCTAAACCCTAAACCCTAAACCCTAAACCCTAAACCCTAAACCCTAAACCCTAAACCCTAAACCCTAAACCCTAAACCCTAAACCCTAACCCTAAACCCTAAAAATCCCTCAGCAACTCCCGGTTTAGGGTTCTGGGGGGTCCTGCACGCAGCAGCTGGGCCCAGGACTGCCCAGGCTGCCCCTCTGCCCTCCAGTACACTCCCAAAAGTTGGAACATCATAACCCTAAACCCTAAACCCTAAACCCTAAACCCTAAACCCTATACCCCAAGAGGGTTACCAAAGGGAGTCCCAGCTAAAAATCGTCCTTAAACCCATGTTCCCCAATTTTATGGAGTTTACTGCATACCCCCTCAACTCGCCGTCGAGCCTGAGCCAGAGCCAAGCCCATGAGCCGAGAAAGGAGCGTGCCGAAGGACCTCGTTGGGCAAAAAAAAGGCCTGAAGTGTTTGTTTCAGGGTTTTTAGGATTTAGGGTTTAGTGTTTTTAGGATTTAGGGTTTAGGGCCTGAAGGGTTCAGGGTTCGGGTTCAGGGGGTTATAGGGTCCAGGCACCTGCAGAAAGAAGTCCCTGAAGGTTGGGTGTGGGGTTTCGGGAAGCTTCAGACACGCAACATCTTCGTTGGGTCCAGGACTCATGGCTTCAGGGTTAGGATCTTCTTAGCCGCAACCCCAATCTCACATATGCTCCGACACCCGCGATTACTTGAAACGATCTTCAAGGGGCATTGGATTCTCAACCCTAAAAACATGAATTCTCTAAAGCACGTTCACAGGCTAGTTGCGGGCTTCCGCGGGCATAGTGGGGCCCTGTGTAAATATAGGGGTCGGAATGCTTACGACTACCATCCCTTCGGATCCTTGTTTAAATATACAAAAGCAAAAGCAACCCCCCCCCCCAAAAAAAAAAAAAAAAAAAAAAAAAAAAAAACAATAAAAAACCTGTTCTATTTATTGAGGCCCCTATAGAAGACTTCTTGGGTCCTGCGGGTTTGGGTTCACAAGGTTCGAGTGCTTTCGAGCAGTCCGAAGCCACGACTGGCCTGAGATGGATCAGCTCTTACTGTCGGCCTAGTTGGGGCTTTGGGGCTTAGGTTTAGGATTTTGGGTTTCGGGTCTATGTTAGCGCTAGTAGAAGTGAATGTAAGAGAAGCCCATAATGATGATGCCTCATGCCTCGTTCTTTCCCTGCTTTCCATCAGACAAAACAAAAGTGCTACAGGACTACTAATTGCTTAAGAACCCCGAACAAATTAAAAAACATTCTTCCTTATTAAGGGTAATATAGGGAATATTCTTTCTTATTCTTTTGGAGTTCTTAAGCAAACAGTAGAAAGTGCTACAGGATCTTCGGTCTTCGGGCCAATGTTCGCCGACGCAAGGTCCAGAACCATGCACGACCAACGGACCCAAAACCCAAAACCCAAAACCCTAACCCTATACACCCTAAACCTCGACCGAACATAGAAGACTCTCTGCGTGGCACCCTCCAAGTACAGGAAGAGCCGCAGCACGTCATCCATGACGAATCCGCCCAAGATGGTCTTCACCTGCCAGGCGCGAGGTGGGGTTAGGGTTGTTTAGGGTTTGGGGTTTAGGGTTTCGGGTTGAGGGTTTAGGTTAGGGTTCAGACGTAGCTTACACACACATGATGATCTCTCTAAATTATGGTCCGTTTTTGCGTCCTTATTCTACGGCGGCCCCTCTGATGGGCCGTAATTTAGAGTAACTGACCACATATTCATAGGTGGGCTCACCCTAAACCCTTTTTGAATGCAGACTCTTTTTTTGAACCCAGACTCCTGAAGTCACCCAGACTCTAAACCCTAGACCCCTGGCCCCTGACCCCCTTTTTTTGCTGCCGGGCTGTTGCAGTAAGCCGGGGTAGACCCCTAACCCCTAAGCCCCTGAAAACCTCTCTCCCTCAATGCGGGCCTCGGGTAGCCCGCTTCCCGTGCAGCCGCTGCGGGAGGCGACCGTGGCGGCGCCAAGCGCGGCCAGCACGCCTCGCTCCAAACGGCCCATAAGTAGCCCTAAGGGTCCATGTGCCCATATAGTCATAGGGGTTCCTATATAGTAGCTTTAGGGCCCAACTATATACTTTCTGGGTACATGGACCCTTAGGGTAGGTGCAGACTTTAGAACCCCAGCGTGGGGGCATTGTTTTCTACACTTGGAGCCCAAAAAGGCTAGGGCTCCAGGACTTTCTAGCTGCTAGCTTCGTGACTTCGAATTGCTGAGTTCATAAGCCCCCAAAATAGTGTGCACTTTCAGTTCTTTAGGAGATTCAAATATCTAAAAACAAGTGTAAAGTGTGCCCACTCAGCTACTGAGGTGAGCAAACAAAAAAACTCGAGCCTCTGCACATTTCTGGCTGCCGATAGCGCCGTTCTCCAAAGGCCGCACCTAAGGATCCTTGCCCTAAACCCTAAACCCTAAACCCTAAACCCTAAACCCTAAACCCTAAACCCTAAGGGGGCTTCCGAAACTAGGGGTACATTATTGGGGTCCTTACTTATTATACAGGGATCCTACTATTTGGGGCTCTAAATAAAGGCTCCCTGATTTTCGTAAACCCCCATAAGAGTGCTGCCACATGGCTGACAGAGAAGAGCCGCCATTCACTCTCGGCCTCGCCATAAATGGATTTATGGATCCACCTTGGCAGAAAAACTCGGGAAATGTTGAAATATGTAAAATCTATGGTTGATCTTTTGAATGCCTTTCATATATATATATATATAGTATTATTCATACTATTATTATTTTATTGCATTTGTTGTCTTACTTTTTTTGGGGGGGGACCAAAAAGACTTCAGCGTCAGGTTTCTCAGGGCACTTGTAGAGATATAGACCTTAAGGACACGAGCAAATGCCTACTGCGCTTTAGGGGGGGACATCATCATAACCTGCTGGGCTTAGGGGTTCTTCAGGCTGTAACTTTTTACCTAAGAACTCCCACATCTTTATAGTCACTTTCCACCCAACCAGAAAGGCCAACACATAGGGCCTGACGCAAATCATCGTCACTTTTTGTTGGTCTATTCAAGATCATCGCTATGAAAGTGTACCAAAAAACGGGCCCATACTGTAGTTATAGATCCCCCCACATCATGCGCCAGCACAGGCACCAAACCCGAGAACCAAACCCAACCACAAGCCCTCAACTGGGCAGAGACTTCACACCTAGAACCCCCAATTGTGCCTTGGGATTACTAGTTGCCTTTCTCTCCTGAGAATGTCTCTTTAGGCACCGCAAAAAAGAACTCTAACTGGGGAATAGGCAGATTCCTACCCTTCCCTTCATGGATCCCATCACTTCCAGCATAAGAATCATCTAAACCCCAAACCCCAAACCCCATACCATAAACCCTAAACCCTAAACCCTAAACCCTAAACCCTAAACCCTAAACCCTAAACCCTAAACCCTAAACCGGGTCGGGCCACCTCGGATCGTGGACCAGCAAGCAACTGGCAAGAGCGGTGGAAGAGGAGGATTCGTACTTGCTGTTTTTGGAAGAGCCTAAACCCTAAACCCTATAAACCCTAAACCCTAAACCCCAAACCCCAAACCCTAAACCCTAAACCCCAAACCCCAAACCCTGAACCCTGAACCCTGAACCCTACCCACAGCAGTCGTTCATGCCTAAACCCGAAACCTCCAAACCCTGCCTTTGTACAAGCCTTCGGGCGGGTCGGCCACGTATTTCAGAGCTACTTGGAGGTTCAGTTCAAGGTACTTATTAACCCAATACTCACTGTACTTATAACCCACTTAAGGGGTTTATAAGTGCAGTTCTCAGTGGTTCATATGTACCTTGAAGCTTCAAGTCGGGGCTTCGAGGATTGGGGGGGGGGGGGGGTCTTGTGCTTTTCAAGCCCTAGACCTGAATAGGTGCAGGGTTTAGGGTTTAGGGTTTAGGGTTTAGGGTTCAGGGTTTAGGGTTTAGGGGAGGCTGTTTTGTCAAATGCTGCTATCGCAGCATGCGCATTGCGGGCTGTTCTCATCGAACAGCACCGAGTCCACGGAGTGTTTTTGTTGAGTACTCGCGCTGCGCGCACGCAAGCTTCGCGGGCTCTGAGCTCGCCCCGGGCTTGCACACGGGATTCGAAGGCGGCTGTTTGCATCGCCAGATAGCGGCTTGATGCGATCCAGCCCTCGTCCTGTGCAAAATCCTGAGCATACGTGCCAAGCAGATCTGCATTATTCAGTGTTCCAAATATGGTGCGCCTAAAGCCTAAAGCCTAAACCCTATAAACCCCAACCCTAAACCTTAAACCCTAAACCCCCTATCCATGTGCATGCTCCGTGTGAAGTGCATGCAGAACTGCCGTCGCTTGAGGGCTGTTGGGGTGGCCCCGAAGCAGTACCCTAAATCCTATAAACCCTGTAAACCCTGCAAACCCTCTGAACCCTACAAACCCTAAACCCAACACTATAAAGCATATAAAGCATATGAAGCATATAAAGCATATAAAGCATATAAAGCATACAAAGCATAGAAAGCATACAAAGCATATAAAGCATATAAAGCATATAAAGCATATAACCCGATAAAACCCTCCAAAGCCCTCTAAACCCTGAACCCTCCGCGGGGTGCTGGTTGGAGGTGCCTTTTGGGGGCGCATCAAATTGCCCTAAACCCTAAACCCTTTTTGCAACCGGGCTCATTGCTGCCGGGACCTGGCTTCGTACGCTCTTAGAGCTAAACCCTAAACCCTAAACCCTAAACCCTAAACCCTAAACCCTAAACCCTAAACCCTAGTCTCGAAGATTCGCTGTTTTGAGGGGGAGGGGCTTTGAAGGCCCGGGGCTCCTGATGGCTTTATAAAGTCCCTACGAATCCTACAGCCCAGAAGCCCTATCTGAGTGGTGTCTTTGAAAACTATTTATGAATAGGTTCCCTTGAAAGGGAAAGAAGGGAAATTTTAAATCATCCCAAATCACTACCCAGACACTATAGTCTTCTGCCTTCCTAGGCCCTAAGCATCTATGCCACTCCTATCGACTTAGACCGTCCCTAACCCCAAACACTTGTTGAACCTGGAAACTGCTTCAACCCCCCCCCCAAAAAAAAAAAACCTTCACCCTAAACCTAAACCCCGAACCTCCACCTCCACCCAAAGAAGTCTTCAACCTTCCCCTGCCTTGTGAGACCGGTGAGTGCGCCTATGAGGACCAGCACCAAGCCTCTGTCCCACCTGCCTGGGGGTTGGGGTTTAGGGAAGAAGGGTTTAGGGTTTAGGGTTTAGGGTTTAGGGTGTAAGGTTGAAGGTAAGTTTAGGCTTTAGGGTTCAGCAATCCAGTTATCGGGGCAAGCAAAGAAGCCCAACGTTGTTTCATGGGGCAAGAAAGTTGTAATCTCAGCTTTTTGTTTGTTGCGCAGGCTTGTGGTCCAAAAGCCTGGCTTTCGAACAACTGAGTTCCTAGAGGGGAAGTCCAGGGGCCTTGGCTGCATGAACTACGACTATTTTCTTAAGAACCCCCCATCACAAATATTCTTCCCTCTAAGAGCAATGTAGGGAGTATGTTGAGTATTTTTTTTGGCGGGGGGTTCTTAAGCAAAGGGTACACGATGCCTGCATGCACTATAATCATAGCCATCATCATCGCAATGATGACTATGTTTGCCTACGACTCTGACCACGGCCTTCATGATGATTATTGCCATTGTTGTCACCAGTATTCTTACGAGTATGCTGAATAGTATGATTCCTCTTCTACTTGCGATCATAAGCTTCATCATCATCATCATCATCAGCAGCATCGTCATCATCGCCATGAACATCACTGTTTCGCCACTGACTGTCAATTACTATATGGGGGTTTCCGAGGGGTATATTACGTAGGGGTCTCCCTATCATTTGGGATGTTGGGATCAGTGGAGTGTTCATGGCAACCACCAAGCTATCTACTATGCGTGTACGCACCATCACGTAGCAAACCAGCACGACACCCTCCACACGGACCCCCCGCATGTAATATAGGGGCCTTAATGATTAACATAGGGTCTTAGGGGGTTTTGAAAGGAAAAATGAAAAGGGGCCATAGGGGGAATACTATTTGAAATAATTCCGACCCCTATGGTAAGCGAATCCTGAACCGATGACACGGTATAGACCCGGAGCGGTATCTTGTAAAGCAAGACCCTGCTGGGCCAGGGGCTCATCCGGACACGTTTCTGAATCTCCGCGGGCCAGGAAATCGAGGACAGAGGGGAGACTTCCGATTTCCTAAGCTGCGACTCAAAGCGGCGGGAGCACAGACATACACTCTCAAAGCCAGCTGCCTTTCCTGAAGCCCCCAATCCCTAAACCCTCCCAAATCCACCGAAGGCCCAGGCCCAAGGCATTTTGGGGACCCCTCAACCTGTCAACCCTACACCTAGGGGATAGGTCTACGGGAACCCTTGGGGACATAGACCCTCTGAATTTCTGAATAAGGTCCCTGTTTAAGAGAGCCAAGCAGGGTTCCCTTTATCCTACCTACGAAAACCCATTCCCCTCCAACTTTTTGGTCCGAGCCCTGCGACTCCGAGGCTCCCTCCCGCCGGAGTTTCGTTCCCAGCAGGTTGGGTTTAGAGTTTAGGGTTTAGGGTTTAGGGTTTCGGGTTTAGGGTTTAGGCGGTTTAGGGTTTACGGTTTAGGGTTGGCTTTGGCGGAACATCGTCCATCTTAGTCGTGCTCCTGCCAAATTTTTGAAAACACTGTGCGTCGACAAACTGAAGCCAGACAAGCGAGAAAGAATGATCAACGGCTGTTGCAAGAAAAGGCGTCGGGAGAGGAACCCCTCGTGCAAGCAAAGGGCGAACCTCGGGTCAACTACCTGTCATCTTTCTCTGTACACACACAAATATATACACATATGTATATATATATATATATACATATGTGTGTATATGTATATACACACATATACGAATGCATCTTCGTGGCGTATATGCCCTAAACCCCAGCCCCTTGACGACCACCACCTCGAACTTTCCAAAACCGGCAGCTTCTGGCCATTCAACACAGAGTCCCTCGAGGTCTGGGAGCTGGATCACCTTCCCGCGGCCAGCTTGCACATACTTGCACCCCACTTGCTTCTGAGGGTTTAGAGTTTAGGGCATAGGGTTAGGAACCCAGACCCTCAATTGTGGCTCCTTTTGGGGGGATACCTCTTGTCCCAAAAAAAACTCGAATTTGGGTGGGGTGTAGGAGACAACAGGACCTTGAGCCCGCCCTAGAAGTACCGGAGTGATAACTTCAAGAGCAGCCCAACAGATACCTTCTTGTGCATGTGAGGGTTAACAAGAACCTGGCGGGAATTCTTAGGCAACCTACTTGGAGGCTCGTGGTACTTCTTCACCCAATTACAACAGCTCTGATCACCCAACAATATCCACACATTGGGGGCACCTAAAGAGACTTATGTGTGGGCTATAAGTCCATGCCGAATTAGGCCATAAGTACCCTGAGCCTCCACGTACGAAACCGTAAAAGCTCGCCCCGTTGGGAGGTTTTGGCCACTTGCAAGCCGCTTCAGGGCTTGGTCTATGTTGGTTTGCTAGCTCAGGGTTTAGGGGCTTAGGGGAGGGTTTGGGGTTTGGGGTTTGGGGTTTGGGGTTTGCTAGTTCAAGGTTTAGGGGCTTGGGGGAGGGTTTGGGGTTTGGGGTTTGGGGTTTGGGGCCTTTTTGGTTGAGGGTTTAGGGCCGGTTTAGGGTTTGAGGGGTTGTTTTTTGGCGACCTGCCTGGCTTAAGTAAAAGGATCCTAATGGGAACCCCAAACAGGGAACCCCAAAGACACAGTAGGAATCTAAAAGGAATGTAAGGACCCGGTAGGCAGATTCCTACAACATTCCTACCATTTGGGATTCCCTGTTTGAGGGTTCCCACGAAAGTCGCTTTATTAAAGTTTTCTGCAGAGAACACGCTTTGTGTGCTCTGGAAGTCCTTTCAGGGCAGCTTCTTTGGGAATTATGTAAGGTGCCGTTTACCCCCCAAAAAACAATTCTCAACAACACCCATATGGGGAGCCTATTTGCCTGATTGCGTATGAAGGAGCAATAAAGGAGTAGAGTTACGGTCATTCAAGGTTTTAGTTTAGTCTTAGCTTTCAAGCCCGAGAGACCTTGCAAATGAAGGCGCAGACCCGGCCCTAAAGGGTTTAGGGCTTATAGGGTTCAGGGTATAGGGTTTTGACAAGGGTTTAGGGTTTAGGGCTTAGGGTTCAGGGTATAGGGTCCTTAAAGCGGCGGAGCCTGATCGGACTGCTGTTACGGCCAACACCCGACTGGCGCGCAGGTTGTTGACCTCGGCAGGCGGAATTTCAGGCTTCTGGTCGCGCAACATACCCTAAACCCTAAACCCTAAACCCTCAACCCTAAACCCTAAACCCTAAACCCTAAAACCCTAAACCGGGTTGAGTTCGAGGACGTTGCATCGAACTTTCAACCCCCAGAACTTGCTTTTGCTCTCGGCGCTGGGCGAGGCCTTAGACTCACCCAGACTATCTGACGTCTCCTTGCGGCTGGTGAATCGCATCAGGAGGATTGGCAAGCGCTTATACACAGTTTGTATGCAGAGTCCTTAATCTGGTCACGCAGTCACGCTCTGTGGGAGCTACGAGAATAGTAGACCCCTGAAAAAGGACCCCCAAAAAGTAGTAGGATTCCTTTATCATAAGGACCCCAGTAAGGTACCCAATTTCGGACACCACCATGCGCTTTGAAGGAGGGTTGTGCAAGTCAGCCACCGTCAAGGATGCATAAGGGACGGTCAAGCGATCCGAGGCATGAGATCCCGCCTGCACACCTATACAAAACCCAAACCCCAATGCATTATACCCCAACTCCTGAACCGAAAAGGCCACAACCAACAAGAACAAAACAACCCCAAAGCCCGATGGTCCCTACCCAATAGCTGTCGCACACCAAGTAGCAGCCCCAGTCCTCATCGTCTCGAGGCTGTTCCCCCTGCACGTAGGCCCGCAACAGAGAACAAAACCTTCGCCCCTCATCCCCAACACGATTTTCTCTCCCACATAGCTGGACGAACCGCACGGCAGGGTTTGATGGGGCCAACACTTCAGGGTTCAGGGTTTGAGGACTCAGGAGGTTCTTCGTTGTCCAGTACCTAGGGGTTTTAAAGGTTAACCTTTGGGATTATAAGGGGAATATAGTAACCCAAAAAGGTTAAAGGTTACCTACTCTACTACTAAGGGTTTTCATTGCACCAAAAAGGAAACAAAAACTACGCAGGGTCCTCTCTACAGCATGGCTCCCAAGGAGCCCAGAAGCCGCGCGGCATGATCTCACGACCCAGGAGCAACCCCGGGAATCAGAAGGGTGCACAAATTTGAGGTCTGAAACGGGGTCTTAGAAGGGGACCCAAACCCTAAGAAAAGGTATAAGGGCCCACTTCGAGTCCTAGCTTTTGCCGTTTTTCATGACCCCTATAAGTACTTTCTTGGGGTGGGGTGGGGGGGGGGGGGGCTCGGAGTCGGTTGAACCAAGGAAAAGAGAGCCAGGGTTTTGGGTTTCTGCTTCAGGGTTTAGGGCCTAAGGCTTCGGGTTTAGGGTTCTTTTGTTTTTGGGTTTCGGTCCCCTGAACCTCTCTCCTTCTTCATCTGCTTCTTCTTCTTCTTCTTCTTCTTTGCAACCCGCAATGGCATTCACGGACCGAAGCTTGCAGAAGTACCGAGAAACCCAGAAGCTCAAACGAGGTCCTGATTTCCAAAAACCGGATCCACGGAAGCTCAAGACCAAGGGCTTGGGGCTTGGGGCTTGGGGCTTGGGGCTTGGGGCTTGGGGGTTTGAGGGTTTAGGGTTTAGGGTGTAGGGGGCTTGGGGCTTGGGGTTTGGGGTTTGGGGCTTGGTGCGCCTGGACTGTATGCCGGAATAGAAGAAGGAGCTTCTCTGCCGCGGGATGTGGAAGCCCTGCTTCGGGAGGGCCGGACAGCTCGGGATTTCTGGGCCATATACTGCACCTGCAGGTGAAACCCTAAGCCCTAAACCCTAAACCCTAAACCCCCAAGCCCTAAACCCTAAACTGCGTCATTTTGCACGATAGTACTAGGCCAAAGAGTAACCTAGGAATCAGAAGGGGTTAAGGGAACCTTAACCCTGAAAAAAAGGGAACAAGGGCCTACTCTGGGCCCTTGAAGAAGCTTGCACCCTTGCAGCCCAGCGAAGCAAACACCAGACCCTCTAGCTTTTCCACACCAAGAGCATCCTTCTGCTTGAAGAGGGTGGCTTTTAATAAGAGGGGTTTAGGGTTTTAGGGTTTAGGGTTTAGGGTTTAGGCAAGTCAGGCTCAGACTCTTTGACCGTTTGAGTTCCCTAAACCCTAGCCCTAAACTCTTTTGACCCCAAACCCTAAACCCTTCTGACCCTCACCCTTAACCCTTCACCCCAAACCCCTTCAACCCTAAGCCCTAAACCCTAAACCCTAAACCCCAAACCCTAAACCCCAAATGCGCGCCTTGGGGGAGCTCAACTTGGGAGTCGCTAGCAGTGGATTTGAGTTCCGAGAGCCTGCGGGGCAGTTAGATTTGTTTAGGGTTTAGGGTTTAGGGTTTAGGGTTTTGGGTTTTGGGGGAGGTTATGGAAAAATAGGGTTTAGGGCTCACAGGGTTTAGGGTGAACCTAAACCCCCAAAGCATGTAGTTATACCATGGACTGGATAGCCTAGCCCAAAACAGGTTGACCTCATATAGATTGCAGGATTCTATATAACCCAAAAGGTTCAAGATTCCCTACCGGTCCTAAGCAAGCTTTCCAACCGCTATGTTAAGTTTGCCGGTTCTCGCAACTTGAAGCCTACGTAGTACCCCCTAGAAACCATTTCTCTAATCCTCATAACCCAACTTGCTAGCCGTACTTGCAAAGCCAACAGAGCTTCCAAGCTGGGGGAAGTATCGGGAATTGGGTTTACGGACCCCAAGCCCTACGCGGCTGGGGTTTACCTAAACCCCTAAAGTATGTAAGTGAAGAACCCTTTTTAGTTTACATACTTTAGGGGTTCAGGGAGGGTGTATGGGTTCTCAGAAGAGGGGGGGGGGGGGGGGACCCATATCATCAGCCTTAACAATCATGATGTAATCATTTATATTTGCACGCAATGTATCCGTAACATCAATAACAATATGTTCGGGACATTGACTTTGCAAATTAACTTAACAATTGCGGTTTTAGGAGGCGCGTTTGTGGGGCGGGGAGGGAGGGGGAGGGGGATCAAATCCATGGGAAGACCAGGATCCCTTTCGTCTTGTGTTTGGGGTGGATAAGAGCTTGTTACCTCGGGCTTTGTTAGGGTTTATCGGGCTTTTAGGGTTGACTGGCTTCTGGAGCTTATTCTGCTGGGCGCTTTTTCTAGGGCTTATAAGGCTTCAGAGCTTGTTTGAGCCTGTCGTGTTGCGGTGCAGGATTCGTAGGATCTTTTGTATAAGGCTTCTTCAAAAGGGACCAACATGTACTTCTACTTGCTTAAGAACCCCCAAATAAATCCAAAGAAGGTTCTTCAAGTTCTTCCGTATAAGGGATATAGGGATCATTATTCTGTCCTTTTTGCGGGCTCTTAGCGTGGGGACACAAAACCCTAAAACGTAAACCCTAAACCCTAAACCCCCAAACCCTAAACCCCTAAACCCTAAAACCCTAAACCCCTAAACCCTAAACCCCAAACCCTAAACCGTTGCCGTGGAGTTGCCCCGGCTGGTTGGATCGATGGCTTCGTAGCAAGCCAGGTAACCTCGAGCGGCGCTCGGACTCAGGCTTGGTTTAGGGTTCAGGGTTCAGGGTTCGGGGTTCGGGGTTCGGGGTTCGGGGTTCGGGGTTCGGGGTTCGGGGTTCGGGGTTTAGGGTTCAGGGTTTAGGGTTTAGGGCTTCGGGTTTACCGAAACCCCCCCAAAAGCAAGCAAAATGATGGCACCTGTTTATGGGCTGGGCTGTTTTGGTTTACAAGAATTTTGGGGGCTTGAGGGCGGGAAGCTCGGGGACTTCTGCCCTACTCCCCCCCCCCCCCCACCCTTGGAAGCCGCTGACTTGCAACAGCTGCTAACTTCGTCTGCTCGCGGGAAGCCCGGGACTCATGAGCCCCTAAAACCCCCAAAGAGGCGCTAAACGCCCTAAACCTCTCGAAGCCAACCCCCCCCCCCCCCCCCCCCCCCCCCCCCCCAAAAAAAAAGCATCCGAAAGAGGCCCTAAACCCTAAACTCCAAAACCCCAAAACCCCAAAGCCCAAAGCCCTAAACCCTACACCCTAAACCCTAAACCCAAGCCAGCCTAAGGTCTGCCATCCAGAGCGCAGCCGATGGCCCAGCACTGGGGTTTAGGCTTGGGATGTTCGCCCTAAACCCTAAACCCTAAACCCTGAACCCTAAACCCTAAACCCTAAGACCAAATGAACCCACCAGGGTTTATGGTTCATTTACCCTCGTAGGGATTTTAGCAGTATAGGTTGGGATGTTCCCCCCTATATACTAACAGCTCCTGAAGAGGGAGTTTAATCAGGGGGCATGATATAGAATCCCTATGAGGATTGTTCGTGTAAGGGGGAACATGCCAAGTTTAGGGTTTCTTCTAAGCAGCTATCTCGTTGGGCCAAGTGCAGACCAGGCGCTGTTGGCCACCATTGATGGGCCTCTGCATCAACAACTGCAAATATGATATGACGACAGCCCAGGGCCCGTAAAACCCCAAGACCTCTAGGCCCAGAGCGCTTATCAGACCGTCATCGAACCCTAGCCATACTCAATCCCGTCCCTGTGGAGATGCCCTCCACTATACATGATGGTCGCTTTTTTAGTACAAAATAGAACCCATAATTTGGGTCAACTCGCCTGGATTTGGGGTTGGGGTGGAGGGGTTGCCTGTCGGCTCTTGCCCAGGGCTACGTGTCTTGCAGGCTCCGGCTCATCAGCTACTCTATATGTGTGTATATATATATATATATTTATGTGTGTATACATGTGTCTCTGCAAATATGTGCAACACATGCACCTATATAGATATATATATATATATAGATAGATGGATAGATAGATAATGTGTGTGTGTGCATGTGTACGTATGTGTACCCCCTCGTACTACAACACAGCTATTACAACGCCGCCCCTGAAACCGAAAAGCCATGAAAAGCCCCATGAACCCGAAAAGTTAACCCCGCCACAAAAGAAAACAATAAAACAAAAATCATCTATAAAAAAGAAAAATAATAGTAATAGTAATAATACTAAGAAGAAGAATAAGCAAATACAAATCTATATATATATATCTAAATTAGTAATAATAATGATAATAAGAATTAAAAGTACTGAAAAACAAAGCACACACACACACACACACACGTATATATTTGTATCTATATATATATATATATACAGATATACATATATATATATATGTGTATTTATATGGGTGTGTGCTATAATGGGGGGGGGGGGCGGGCGACAGGTGTTTGGATCAGGGTATGTTTCGCGGGTATGTTTCGGGGTATGTTTCGGGGATATGTTTCGGATATGTTTCGCGGCATCATGAGCTACTTTACCCGCAATTTCGGGGGTATGTTACGGGTATGTTTCGCGCGTGTGCAACCCGTGTGCCCTTCTTAAACCTGGGCCCCCAAAAAAACACAAACCCATATATATATATATATATATATATATATATAGATAGATATATATATATGTATGTGTATATATATATATATATATGCAGATCACAAACATACAGCCCAGTAAGCCCCCCCAAACCCAAACCAAAAACACAAACACAAAAGGCCGGGCTGCTGTTCACCGTGAGGCTGCTGCGGCCTTGGCATGTCGCAGCACACGTTTAGGGTTTAGGGTTTAGGGCTTCCCCGTATCTAGATCCAAGAGTAACCAAGGAATCAAAAAGGGTGCCCTTGTTGGATTAAAGGGGTTTACATGGGAACCTACAAGCCCTAAAAAAAGCTTTGCGGAGCTTTGGGTCATTTAAGAAAAGGGTTCGGGCGCTCTGGTTTGAGGGTTTCGGTTGGGCGTCTTAGACCCCTAAGGCCCATATAATCAACCCTGAACCCAACAAAAACGGATCCCAGAAACAGTAAAAGCAACACCAAAAGCGTCTGCTGCCTCACAGCCTGGGAGGCTTGACGGTTGGTGGACAGAGTCGTGGCCATGCTCCAAGAAGTGGAGGAAGGACCTGAGTTTAGGGTTTAGGGTTTAGGGTTTGGGGTTTAGGGTTTAGGGTTTAGGGTTTAGGGTTTAGGGTCAACTCTGAATGAGGCCGGTTCTCCTAAACCCAAACACTGAACCCTGAGCCTTAAGCCCTCAACCCTGAACCCTGAGCCTTCCACGGATTCCAAGGGAGCTTAGCATCCCATCAGCTGGGGTTCTGTCTTGACCCCCCAAAGCCTGCTCAAACGGCAACCCCCCCCCCCCCCCATCAAACCCTAAACCCTAGCCCTAAAGCCTAAAGCCTAAGGCCTAAGGCCTAAGGCCTAAGGCCTAAAGCCTAAGGCCTAAAGCCTAAAGCCTAAAGCCTAAAGCCTAAAGCCTAAAGCCTAAAGCCTAAAGCCTAAATCGTAAACCCCTGAACCCCTAAAACCCTGAAACCTAAACCCCAAACCGCCAAACCACCGAAAGGCCAAAAAGGCTAAAAGGCTGTGCTAAAGACCAAGGCGCTTCTTTGTGATGATCCCTGCAAGCTTACCCTGGCGCTTGACGAAGATGACCTTGACCCCCAGCTGCCGAAAAATGGCATGCACCTTGCAGGGAGTGTGGCTTCTGGCCCCAACTTCGGGCTCAGGGTTCAGAGTTTAGGCCTACTAGCAGCCGTGGTTGAGGGCTTTAGGTAGATCCTCACCATGAGGCTTTGGTTGGTGAAGGGGGAGGGGGGGCATGCTTCAGACCTTCTGCTGCTGCATTGAAGCAAGCAAGGGCTCGGCACAGCTCGGGGCACGATGCCAAAATGGTGAGCTACCGCACCCCGTCGCTGTCTCAGCGAAATGTTTGTGATGGGCTTTGTCGTAGGAGAAATGGCCAAAATGCCCCTGCTGTAAACAACTCCTGCCTCTGCTTCTCAGAAACCGCCACACAAGCCACACAAACATTAAAACGCCCTCACCTGCGCAGCGGGCGTGTCCGGAACCACGATGAGCCTCGGACGTAAGGTTAAGGGTTTTGTTGCTCAAGGGTTCAGAGCTTGGGATGTTTCCCCCCTTATACTAGCAGTCCTTATTGGTTTAGGGTTTACAGGGTTTACAAGGTTTATAGGGTTTATAGGGCTTAGGGTTTAGGGTTTAGGGTTTAGGGCTTAGGGTTAGGGATTACAATAGAGGGTACTATAATCCCCCATTCAGGACTGTTAGGACACCCAATTTAGAATTTAGAGCGTTTCACATGTATGGGCTTGACATTTGGAGCCACGGGCTGCGAAGTGTGGGACTTGCTTTAGGGTTTATAGGGTTTACATTAGGGTTTATAGGGTTCACATTGGGGTTCATACTGGGGTTTATGAGGTATATATTCGGGTTTATAGGGATTTTGACTAGGGTTTATAGGGCTTCTATCAAGGTGTATGGGGTGTATATTAGGGTTTATAGGGTTTATAGTAGGGTTTTCAGGGTTCATATAGGGTTTATAGGGTTTATATCAGGGTTTTCCAACCCGCTGGGGAGTTCCTTTGGGCATACTTCCGAGCGAAACTCTTGATGAAAGCCTGGAACCTTGAGGGAGTCCAGCTGGAGATTGGGGGCGCATACGACCTAAAGAAAAGTACTTTGGGATGTTCCCCTTATACTAACAGTCCTTACCAGGGATTCTAATCGGGGGTACTATAATCCCGATTAAGGACTGTGGAATTACGGGTGAACATCCCAAAGAGTACTGTTAGACCATGGATCAACAACACTTACCTGGTAGCCCAGTAACCATTTTGAAAAAAGGGCACCCTGTTTTGGGGGGTTGGTTGCTTTATCTGGAGGCTCCAATGTAGTTCCTTTTTGGGTTAGTTATAGGGGATTCAATTATACGGCCCCCCAAAAAGGTACTGCATAGGAGCCTTTGGGTATAAGAGAACCCAGAAGCGAAACAAACAAACATGAAAAAGGGTACCGCTGGGCTACCAAGCTTAAGGGAGCCGCTGCCGCTGCCTAAACCCTCAACTCTCGCTCGCTCGCTCTCTCTCGCTCTCTCGCTCTCTCTTTCTTTCTTTCTTGGGGGCAAGGGGGCACTCTCTCTCTCTCTCTCTCTCTCTGGCATTCGACAACCCTCAACCCTAAAAACTCGGGAACCTTTGAACCCGGGACCCGAGTCATCCCAGGCGCGAGGAAGTGTCCACGAGCGTGGAAGCATCCAGGACGCCTGCATTTAAGGTAGCCTAGAGCTCCAGGTACTAGGCATAATTCAGGGAAAATACACAGGATTCCAAGGGCCTACCCAGGATATGCCATCAAGTGCCGAGCCTTAGGCCCTTAGGCTGTAGCCCGGCCAATGAAAGTGGGAGGTTTGAGTCGCACCCCGATGTCGGCACAAGATTCTGGTCCTAGCAGTCATAAACCGCCCATCTCAACCCCCCAAAGCATGTAAAATAACGGCCCTTTCTCTGGGTTTGCGTTTCCTACTTTGGCCAGGCCCTAAACCCTAAACCCTAAACCCTAAACCCTAAACCCTAAACCCTAAACCCTAAACCCTAAACCCTAAACCCTAAACCCTACTTGGGGGGGGGGGGGGGGGGGGGGGTCCAGGCAAGTACCATCTCCAGCCTGCGTTTGCGCCGGGAAGGAAGGACACCGGTGTGTCCTCCAACACTGCAAAGGGCCGACCAGGTTCAGGGGTTCAGGGGTTTAGGGTTTAGGGTTTGGGGTTTAGGGTTTGGGGTTTAGGGTTTAGGGTTCAGGGGTTTAGGGTTTAGGGTTTATTTGTTTCATCTTGCCGCCAGGCTCCAACGATAGCCAACAAACACTAGAGACCCAAGAGTAACCTGGGAAATAAAAGGGTGCCCTTTTCTGGCTTACAGGGGCTTAATATATAGCCTGCGTCCAAAAACAACAAAGTCACTCAAGGCACAGACACACACAGTGCCAGATGTACCAAGGTGTACTTGGGTCCACCCCCCTTCTGCTCCCTAAGCATAGAGTCCTCCTTTTGCAGGAAGGTTTAGGCTTAGGGTTTAGGGTTCAGGGCTTAGGGCTCAGGGCTTACGGTTTCGGGCTTAGGGTTCAACCTCCAGCCCCTTCAGGACATGAAGCCGCCCATTCACACGTTTCCTCCAGGCAGGCGCCACTGTTCAGCTGCTCCTCCTGTGGGCTTAGGGTTTAGGGTTTAGGGTTAGGGTTTAGGGTCAGGGTGTAGGGTTCAGGTTCTAAGGTTTAGGGGGGGTTTACGGGTAAGCGCTTAGGGTTGCTTTTGTTGGCCTTTGTTTCAGGGCTTGTCATGCGCGCTCAGCAACATGAAAGCGACAGGAGCTGAAGGAAATGTCCCTAGCACAACGAGCCCGCGAGCTGCAAACCAGCTGTGACAGCCAAGAAAAACTTTTGACCCGTGCGATGACATCCGCGAGCCCGAAGCCAGAAACGAAAGTGCAGAACCTTGAAATGTGTTCTTCCGCTCTTCACACTTCTAAAATCGCACCATCGTCCTGGTTCCGAACATTCCCATATGATCCAAATGCAAGTATTGCTCGAACCCAGCTGCACGCAGAGGCCTGGGGGAAACACTGACTGACTTGCGCAGCCTGAAGACCGGACTGAACGCCACAAAAGGAGCCCCGAGAGGCCAGGGCAAAGGGCCGTGGCTTTCTTTTACTTTCAGTTGCACTCCCATTGGGTTTAGGGTTAGGGTCTACGGCGAATGCGGCTTAGGATTCCGAAGCGCTCCGGTTTCAGCCCTGGGGTCCACGAACTTGCGGAGCTTGTGCGCCGGAACGTATCCGACGAAGGACATGTCCTCCTCAGACCTTGGTGCACGGGGGCTTCGACTGCCAAGCTTGCAAACCCTAAGCCGTAAACCCTAAACCCTAAACAGGCAGCATGTGAGTGGACGTAGTTTTCTGGGGTGTGACCCTGAGGCATTGCCAGGCTCAAATACATGGTATGGCCTTTGGGCCAAAACTCCATAAGAGTCCTCAGGGCCTTAGGGTATCGAGGTTTGAGCTATCAGCACGTGCTTCGGGTTTCAGACTGTAGATTTCAGGGCCGGTTGAGGGTTTATAGGGTTTAGAGTTTAGGACTTGCAGACGAGGATTTAAGAAGGCTACAAGCTACCGTTAGCGAAGTGATAAAATTCAAGCTGCTTGATTCCCGCAGGATCTGAAGTAGAGGAATCTTCTGGGCTGCACGGCTTCGACGGCCACTCAGGTTATGCGACTTGATGGTGTTAAGGCTTTCGGGCCCTAAACCCTAAACCCTAAACCTTAAACCCTAAACCCTAAACCCTAAAACCTAAACCTTAGGGCTCCGGGTTCAGGGTTTCAGAGAGAAAGAACTTCGACGGCATTGTCAAACCCTAAACCCTAAACCCTAAACCCGAAACCCTAAACCCTAAACCCTAACCCCCAGACGACCCTGCACGCCGGTGCCGGCATCGCGAACGCCCGAGCGTAACATGTCCCTCAGTGGCGGGTAGGCTTTACGGGTGAAGGCCTTCATCTCTATCTCTCTCTCGCTTATATGTATGTATATGTTTTTTTCTTTTAGTTTTTTCATGTGGGTGTCTCTCTCTACGTGCTTAAACAATAAAGCTGCAGGTCGCTACTTTCATTCGCAGGTCAGAAAGCTCAGTCCGAAGCCTCACGACCGGGAAGCCAGCGAAAGTCGCCTGACAACAGCAGCCGCACATGTTCCACGAGGTTTCGGGTTTTGGGATTTAGGGGGATTAGGGTTTGGGGTTTAGGGTTGAGGGGCCCCGAAGACTCGAAGCCTTACCTCAGACCCTCTCTACCTACAGTTTCATGGGTTACACCTACTACATAATTAGGGTAGCTGCTACGAAACTGTAGGTAAATAGTCCCCGGTAAGCAAGCCCCGAACCCGAACGCCCTTGACAGCCAAGCCAACCTGATGCTTAGGACTCCAGCGTCAACGAAATGCAAAAAAAAACGACCAACAACAACGGAACCAAAGCGAAGTTGGGGATAGCAGGCCCTGGAGAAGTGCCTAAACCCTAAACCCTAAACCCTAAACCCCAAACCCCAAACCCTAAACCCTAAACCCTGTAGTTTCAACTTCGCAGAAGCGCTCCCGGAGCTGGTCTTTAAGGCTTGAGTGGTGAGGGGCGTGCGCATCACACCCAAAGCTAAGATTTCCACGAGAACAGTAGGGTTTAGGGCTTAGGGTTTAGGGTTTTTTTGCCTTGGTTTAGGGTTTAGGGTTTAGGGTTTAGGGTTTAGGGTTTAGGGTTTAGGGTTTAGGGTTTAGGGTTTAGGGTTTAGGGTGCGGCTTGAAGGCGGCAAAGCCCTCCCCGAACTCCAGCTCGCCAGGCTTAAACCCGAAAAAGAAGTACGCTAAGAGCCTGCGGCATTCGGTTCTGGAGATGTGTCGCGGTCCTAATCCCTTGCAGAGGATCTTTGGTAACAAGGTCACCTACAAGGAAGGGAAGCGCTGTGGTTATAATTGAATACAATAACACATCATGTATTATCATATAATATAATATACGATGTATTATATTTATATTTATCTTTACATTTATATTTACCTTAATTTTTTTATTTGGATTTATATTTTCCTTCATGTTTATATTTATGTTCACATTTGTATATACATCTATTCACATATTCATATATATGTTCTATGTATATATGTATATCTTGTATATGTATATTCTATGTACAGCCAAGCCCCAATGCCTGGGCCGCGTCGCGAAGCACCAGCGAAGCCGATCCAGGCTGGACCGGGAGGCAGTGAAGATTCTGTGCCAAGGGGCGCACGGGCTTCGGCAGAAGGCAGGCTTACCATTTGCGACTTGCTTAAGCAGGACCCCCCCCCCCCCCCCCCAAAAAAAAAAAAAAAAAAACACACACACACACACACAACAATAATCATAATAACAATAATAATCATAATCAAAACAATAACCGTACTCCCTAATATTGCCCTACGAGAAATAAAACTTTTCCTTTTTTTTTGTTTTCGGGGGGGGGGGGGGGTTCTTAAACCCTAAAACCCTCTCAAACCCTCTCAAACCCTCTCAAACCCTCTCAAACTCTCTCAAACTCTCTCAAACCCTCTCAAACCCTAAACCCTGAACCCTAAACCCTAAACCCGAAAAACCCTAAACCCTAAACCCTAAACCCTAAACCCTAAACCCAAGCCCGATTCACTTGAACCGGTTGAGCTACTTTCTTTACCGGGATGGTGCGGGGCTAAGTTGTGTTGTTTCGGGCTTCCGGGTTGTGGTTTAGGGTTTAGGGTTTAGGGTTTAGGGTTTAGGGTTTAGGGTTTAGGGTTTAGGGTTTAGGGTTTAGGGTTTAGGGTTTAGGGTTTAGGGTTTGGGGTTTGGGGTTTAGGGTTTAGGGTTTAGGGTTCAGGGTTTAGGGTTTAGGGATCTCATGCCCCTGCAGGAGTCTACGCTCAGGGCATCCAGCGTTGAAGGCCGAGGTTTCAGCCGTTCTTGCTGTCCAGCATCTGTTGTACTCTTCTTGCAACCAGGGTCTTAAATTCAAGTTAAAACCCTGCCTGAGGCCTGAACCCCAAATATGTAAAACTACTGCGCAAACCCTTTATGCATAAAGGCGCCATTATTTTACATGCTTTGGGGGTTTAGGTACGGTTGCATCTCTAGTTGCGGGCTCGAAGACGCGACTCGGGATGCTCAAGAAGACATTTACCGGGGACCAGGTGAAGCCGAAATATGGGGGTCATACACCCTATACTACTAGAATTCCTACAGGTATTAAGGTAAACCCTAAACCCTAAACAATGAACCCTGAACCCTACACCGTAAATCCTGAACCCTGTAGGGTTCATCTGGTCCAACAAGGGAAGACATTCCTAAACCCTAAACCCTAAACCCTAAACCCTAAACCCTAAACCCTAAACCCCTTCTCCGGCCTCCTGCATGATGTCACAGGCCCGCGCCGAGTACGTCACATCATTCGGCTCGTGCAGATACCTGAGAAGGATCGTAGCAAAAAAGGGTTCAGGGTTCAGGGTTCAGGGTTTAGGGTTTAGGGTTTAGGGTATAGGGTATAGGGTTTAGGGCTTCAATTCGCAAACTTCAACTAGCAAATAACGCCCAGGAGAGCACAGATTGAGCGCTGCTGCACATCACGTCGCAGCTGCCCTACAGTGGAGCGGCATGGAGTTCTAGGGCCGTTAGGGTCCATGTACCCATATAGTATATACTTGGGCCCTAAGGCCACTACATGGGAACCCCTTTAAGGCCCAAGTATATACCATGGACCCTTAGGGTAGCTCGTCTCATGCAGCCTTCGAGATAGAAAACCTTTCTGCGTGTAAGGTTGTTACATTGCTGTTGGCTGAATAGTTCGGGTACGATCGTCTGAAAGTGGCAAACACTTTTTCAACCCTAAACCCTAGACCCTAAACCCTAAACCCTAAACCCTACACCCTAAACCCTTAAACCCTAAACCCTAAACCCTAAAACGGAAGGTCCGCAAACGCAGAGTACATCGGTACTCCAGGGTCTGAAGGCGAAACTCGAGGCCGCCGTCCGGCCCCAAAGAGTCTAAACACACAAGCCGACGTGGGCCGGGGAGAATCCACTTTTTGGGGGGGTTTATGGGGTTTATGGGGTTTATGGGGTGTATGGGGTTTATGGGGTTTATGGGGTTTATGTGGTGTAGGGATGGTTGATTAAGGGTTTGGTTTTGAAAGCCTGGCCTTGTTTTTTGGAAACCCTAAACCCTAAACCCTAAACCCTAAACCCTAAACCCTAAACAAGCCCCAAACCCAAAGTTGGCCAAGGCGCGGATAGCCGCGCAGCGAAATCACGCAGTCGTAGATACTGTTGTTGTACTGATCGCCAATCCACTTTGCCGCCAAAACAGCCTTTTGGCTCTTCTGAGGGGGTTTAGGGTTTAGGGGGTTTAGGGTTCCGGGTTTATTGCTTAGGGTTTAGGGTTTAGGGTTCCGGGTTTATTGCTTAGGGCTTAGGGTTGGAATTCTGGCTCGGTGATGCTCGGTGAGTTGCGAGGTTGGGAGTTTGTCTTTAGGACCTTCTCATCCTTCCTGGATTGGCAATTCAAGCCCTCCAAGCCCTCCGAATATGTTCCTACATGAGATCTTCTTGAGCCCAACTATGAAGGAACATCAGGAGCCCAAGAACAGAAGGAGCTCAATTGAGTTCAGAGCAACTGGCCCCACGGTGCTTCGCTGGGTCATCCTGTCTGAGGAGGGACTCCTGTAAAGACCAGTCCGCCCAGCGTGAGCAACACATTCCCAAAGAAATGAAAGAATAATAATCCCTACCTTGCCCTCATAAGGAAGAACACTTTTTCTTTTAGGAGGGGGCGCTTAAGCACATAGAAGCCAAGCCCTAAGCCCGAAACCCTAAAGATGAAACCCTAAGCCGGCAGGAACGGCCAAATGTAATCCAGGAAAAGCACGCTCCGGCAAATACAGCCAAGAGCCGAAAAAAAAACATGGCAAAAAACGGGGTTCAGGGTGTGGCAATCCGAGTTCCCATCGGCAAGAAAGCCCGGAACTACCGTAACACGTATCCAGCGGCAATCATGAACGGAACGATGAGGTAGAGTCCACCGGTGAGCTCGAACCTGATGGGAGGCCCCGAAAGTTTGAAGTCCCTAAGCCCTAAACCCTAAACCCCCTTGGGCCGTCACCGGCATAACTCGTGCCACATGCTTGCACATGGAGTTGGGTACCTTGCGTTGCGTGTCGCTGCTTTGAGACTCGGCACGCTCTCGGAGAAAAAAAACCCCAAAGCCCCCTAGGCCTTACCATTGCCAAAAGAAGAAGTGCCTTAACCCCCAACGCCATGCAAAAGAATGGCACATTTTTTTGGGGGCTTTCGGCACACTTTTGGGGGGGTCAAGTTGACGGATGCTTTCTGGGACCACGATAGGGGTGAAGCCCTGGACAGGGCTCGTGGCTCGACCCTCAGCCTGCTGCTCCTACGCATCCTGTCTTGCATTGTCCACATGGAATCCTGAAAAACGTCGCCCGCAAGATAGAGCCTGCTGTCCCTTGGTTTAGGGTCCAGGGCTTCAGGGTTAGGGGCCAGTTATAGCGGATATGGGGGGACCCTTGGGGATATAGACCCTCTGAATAAGGTGCCTGTTAAGAGAGCCAGAAGAGGGCCAAGAAGGGGTTCCCTTTTAAGGGTCCCCCTTCTCCTACCTAGGAAGTTAGGGGAGTCAGGTCCCTTGGCAGCTCGACCAACTGCACGCAGCCAGGCAGCATGATCACCACCAGTGAAATGGTCACCCGGCAGACGCCGCCCAAGACAGAAGCAGCACCAACCATTGCCTGAGTCTTTGCTTTAAGCCCCTAAACTCTAAACCCTAAACCCTAAACCCGAAACCCCTTGCTTGTGTTCTGATTTCGACCGCTTCATGATGCTTAGGCTAAGACTTCGGGATTTCACTTCTTCCCCGCCTGGTTCACCTCGGACTTCAGATCTCCGTAGCGCAGAAGCTGGTTTAGGGTTTAGGGTTTAGGGTTTAGGGTTTAGGGACTTCAAACGCTTGAGCCGTTGTACTGTGCAGCCCATTGGCGCTTCTGCCCTGAGCCCTCTGACCCAGTTTGGGCTGCTGCTGCTGCTGCGAGTGACCAGAGGAGGGGGTAAAACTGTTTGTAAAGCCCGGTCTGAGAGGTGGTCCACACAGAAACACCAGAACACTCGGGTTCGAACTAGGGCTGCCCGCTTCCAACTCTAAACCCTAAACCCTAACCCCTAAAACCCAAAACCCAAAACCCAAAACCCAAAACCCAAAAGCCTAAACCCTAAACCCTAAACCCAGTTCTCGGACGGCATGCGTAGAAGCCAGGATGGATGGCAGGGGCAAAGCCCAAGAAGCCTGGGTATAGGATGGGATCATCCAGGGTCTGGTTTCAGGAGGTCGGGTATTCGGGTTTAGGGTTCGAGGTCCAGGGCTAAGGCATTTTCTTGTTGTTTTTTTTGCAACCTACCTAGCTGACCTTGTCACACTTTGGGGTTCTATAGATGTATGGGTTGTCTAGGGTCTGGAGATTCAAGGCCTACAGGCCTTAAAAGGGCTCAGGTCTGTGCTAGTCAGAACGTCAATAAAAGAAACCACAACGAGTGCCAGTCTGAGGGTTCTGGAAGGCGTGAAGAGATAACCTAAAGAAGGCAATGCCCTACCGAGAACGTTTAGGGTTTAGGGTTAATTTTAGGGTTGATGGGGTTTAGGGTTTAGGGTTTAGGGCACATTGAACAGACTGCGAAGGCCGCGCCAGGAGCCCAAAAACCCGACAAGCCCTACAGCCTAAGGAGACCAGAGCGGATCTAGGGCCGAGAATCTGAGAAAGAAGCGTAGTCTAGTTGTCTATGGCAATAGAGGACTTTATGTAGGTTGTAGCATCAGATTTATCTACATTGCGGCACCCCTTCTGTGGGTACGCTGAACTAATATTTGCTTACGAACACCAAAACAAGAAAGGACATCATTCCTATAAAGAATATCTTCACTTCCTTAGTCTTTAGGGGGGGGGGCTTCTGAAGCAATTAGTAGTAAAATCAAGAATCTCTATATTTCAGTCTTTAGGAGTCTTTAGGGGGGGGGGCTTCTGAAGCAATTAGTAGCAAAAGAATCTCCATATTCCATGTACCCAAAAGGGGGCTCAGGAGAAGTGCTCATATAAGCTGTCCTTGACCCTTTTTGCTTCAGGGCTCCTGTGGTAACCCTAAACCCTAAACCCTAAACCCTAAACCCTAAACCCCCTTAAGACCTGCAAGCCATCAGCTCCACACCCCGCCCTCCGCGCGCCGAGGGGCCATTGGCCCAAGCGGCCACAATGCCCAAGGCACGGCCGAGGCAAGCACCGACATAAAGGGCCCTGAGCTCAACTAGGATATGGGGATGTGGTCCTTAAAACCGAAATAGAATCCTGAATATGATACTCTCAAACCCAAGAATGGAAAATTAAATATGTCCCAAGGCTACTTGGTCAACTTGGTGGGTTCGGGTTTCGGGTTTAGGGATCATACACCCACGCGCCTAGAGGGTTTAGGGTGAAGGCGGAGGAGGACGGCTTCGGGTTTAAGGGTTAAGGGCTTTTGGGTTTGGGGTTTAAAGTTTAGGGTTTAGGGTTTAGGGTTTAGAGACCGCCAGGGGTTCAGGACCATGAGCTTGTGTTTGAACATGGGAGATCATGGGCTTCCAGACGGCTGTAAGGCAACCCCAGATTGGAGCGGTCATAGACCGATGGATGCAGTCGGGTTTAGGTTTAGGGTTTAGGGTTTAGGGTTTAGGGTTTAGGGTTTAGGGCGAAATAAGGAATGATTCTTAAGTGCACCCTACCTCATGCTTACCGTGGGGCTCGCAGCCTTGGGAAGCGACTTTAGGTTTCATAACGCCTCGACGCTCACACTCGCACGGTCCATCGAAGAAGGAACAACCGCGGGATGTCCCGGGCTTAGGGTTTGGGGTTTAAGGTTTAGGGTTTAGGGTTTGGGGCTAGACACAGGAGAAACCTAGGAATAAAAAAAGGGCGCCCTTGTTGGTTTTGAGGGGATTATCAGGGAACCCCAACCCCTAAAAAAAGGAAAAGCGGGCCTACTCCCGGTCCTAGAAAGGGAGGGCACCACGAGTAGCCTCTCGAAAAGCCAACAGCAAGTCGAACCGAACCAGAGCAATCCATCGGAGCAACGGCTGTTCGTCGAAACCTCCCCTAGAAGGCGATCTCAAACTGAGAGTTGAGAGTGAGTGCGTGGCGGTCAAGTTGCGCACGATGGGGGGCCGTAGTCATCTGGCGGAGGGACTCGACCCCTGTCTTTTCGGTCTTCTCCTCCGTCAAAGATGGATGCGCGCCGCGAACCACGCGATTGTCTTTGGCAGCTGCCACAGGGTTGTTCGTGCAGGTGGGTGAAGGCCATGCGGCTGCACACTGCCATCCACGCTACAACGGTCATAGTGGGCCATGTCCTCGTAAAAACAGAGGCATGCCCATGCACGGGTGTAACACAGAGTGTGCCCATGATCTAAACCTCTCCGTTCAGTTTAGTGGTGACAGGAGCTGGCTGGAAAGCAGGCACACCTTGCCCCTTTTGCTTCGCTGAATCTGGAGGTTCAGGGTTTAGGGTTTTTTCCCACCTGTGTCGCAAGCGTTTAGGGTTTAGGGTTTAGGGTTTCGGGTTTAGGGTGTTTTGAGCTCCGGCACGTTGACTTTTCAGCGCTGGCAGTCGGCACAGTGTGAGAGCCCCGTGTCGGCCAGCGACGTGGAAGTCCAGTCTGCACAGTGCTCTATGGCAACAGCAGGAAGACGTTGGCCCACCTGATGCATCTGCCGAACCTCCGAAAATGTCAGCAGTCGAGGCAAAACGTCCTGCAGGTCTATGAAGGCATCCTCCAGTTGTTTTTTCAACGGTGCATGCTGCGTCAATGACAGTCCTCCACTTGCTGATTTCGGCGAGAGCTTCTTGACAACGTGGCCAATTGGAGCAAATGTCCATGTGAAGTCAGGAAGCTGGCTTTCAGTCCCACTGTCTGTCCGGAATGAGACCAAAGATAGTCTTCTGACAACTCCAAACGAATGAAAAGGCTCTGGCCCCCTTTTTAAACTGCCCTTCTGTTTAGCGCACAGGCGCATCTCTGCCATCGTGGCAGACATCAGCACCCTGATGGCCATCTGCCCACTCCCACACGAGACAGAGAGAGAGAGAGAGAGAGAGAGAGAGAGAGAGAGAGAGAGAGAGAGAGAGAGAAAAAAAAAAAAAAACAAGAGAGAGAGAGAGAGACCTATTTTTACTCGTTCTTACAAGTAGTACGGAATGAGGGCATGAGGGACCCGATATAACCTCTGAATTAGAGTTTGTATATACTAATATACTAATATTAGAGGGATACAAGGTGCGGAATTCATGAAGAACCTTCGGGACTATGTTGTTCGGATTCTTTGCTCTGCGCTTTGCAGCAAGTGCTGCCGAAGAGGCGGTACGAACAGGCCGCAAGGCACGCCAGTGCCGAAAGTTAGAGTCACCTGTTGGCTCGAATGGCAATTGAGGTGTGATGTAGGCTTAGGGGTTTGGGCCAGGCGTGGGAGTATATAGTTGGCGCCTAAACCACTCATGTTCAACCGCCAGCAAAAAAGGCGCATGCAGAGCCAGATCGAAACATTACTGTAGCAAGGCTAGATTAGAGAGTTAGGGGTTTGGGGTCCCCTCAAAAAAAAGGGAAATAAGGGCCTACTCCGGGTCCTAGCCCTAAACCCTAAACCCAAAACCCTAAGCCCTACACCCAATAAGGGCCTACTCCGGGTCCTAGACCCTTTTAGACTTCATCCACTCCCTAAGGGTGCGCCCTTGCAGGAGGAGGCGGATCAGAGAGTTCGTGTCCCCCCTTTCGTGAGTTCGAGAGATTGACTGGTTCTACTTTCAAAAACTCCCGAACCCTAAACCCTAACCTTATATATACACACATATATCTAGAGATGCACTTAGTTGCTGAGTTCAGACGGCCCCCCCCCCAAAAAAAAAAATCTACACTTTGAGTTCTTTCGGGGAGTATAGTATCCCAAAAAGTGTAAAGTGTACTCGCTCAGCTAGTATGTATATACCAAACCCTAACCCTAAACCCTAAACCCTGAACCCTAAACCCTCGACCTTATTTTATACACATATGTATATATATATTTATATATTATTATATGGTATTAGATTATATGTATATAATACACGCTTTGTGAGGGGAGGATCCCGCCTGGACGAACTTGATGGTGGCAGCGACCAGCAGGGTCGCCACCAAGCTGGGGTCAAGGCTGTCCTCCTGACTTTAAGAACCGGTATGTAAAAGAAAGGGTTTACGGTTTAGGGTTTAGGGTTTAGGGGTTAGGGTTTAGGGTTTAGGGTTTAGGGTTTAGGGTTTAGGGTTTAGGGTTTAGGGGGTTTAGGGTTTAGGGTTTAGGGTTTAGGGTTTAGGGTTTAGGGTTTAGGGTTTAGGGTTTAGGGTTTAGGGTTTAGGGTTTAGGGTTTAGGGTTTAGGGTTTAGGGTTTAGGGTTTAGGGTTTAGGGTTTAGGGTTTAGGGTTTAGGGTTTAGGGTTTAGGGTTTAGGGTTTAGGGTTTAGGGTTTAGGGTTTAGGGTTTAGGGTTTAGGGTTTAGGGTTTAGGGTTTAGGGTTTAGGGTTTAGGGTTTAGGGTTTAGGGTGGAACCTCAGCCCTAAAACGGGGAAAAAGTCTGGGTCCTGAGTCTGGTATCTTGAGCTTAACTGAACTTGGAACCCTAGCAAAGATCATATTGTTTGGTGTTTCTTAGGAATTATCATGCCAAAAAAACTAACCGTTTTTCCCAAGTATCCCTAAGCTAAGAGCTTGCGGCGCTCGCACACCCGTTTAGGGCTTAGGGCTTTAGGGTTTAGGGTTTTCGCAGCCATCAAGGTGGTTTTAGGGCTTATTATAGGGTTTGTAGGGTTTATAGGGTTCAGGGTTTTAGGTTTCGAGGGTGTTGAGTGTTTCAGGCTTTCAGAGCTTTCAACCTAAGCACTGAGGAGGGATGCCATGTCTTCACAGGGGTCCTCTGGGAGAGGGAGAGAATCGCATGGATTTCACATCATGCGGCCTCTTCCTCTCCCCTAAACCCTAAACCCAAAACCCTAAACCCTAAACCCTGCAGGGTTTACGTAGGGCTAGGTACCCCCACAGAGTCCCTTCAACAAGGCGTATAGGATTTAGGGTTTGGGGTTTAAGTAGGATTTATAGTATGTACGATGTATGGTACCTAGTTATGGTACGTAACCCATGCAGTCCTCCCCGTTGCAAAGCGTCATGGGATCAACATTATCCAGCGGGTGCGTGCACGAGTGAAAGATCGTGTGAATAGCCTCGGCAAGAAGAGTGCCAAAGCAAGAGGGCACAGACAAACGCAGACCTTCATCCTACCTAAGGGCCCCAAGACCTGCCTTTCCTAAACCCTACCTAAATCCTAAACCCAGAACCCTAAACCTTTTGGTAGCTTGACAACCTTTTGATGGGAAAGAAAACCCTGAAAGGATTCTAAGGCAGCCTACAGCAACTAGTTTTGGGGTTCGTACGGTGGGTTTTTGGGCTTGGGGCTGCCCTAAACCCTAAACCCTAAACCCTAAACCCTAAACCCTACACCCTACACCCTAAACCGGAAGGTGGAAGCTCAGGCCTTCCATGCTTCAACTGCACGGAAGCCCCAGCCAGGACCAACAACTACTCATGAAAACCCTTTCTGCGTCGGGCTTTTTTAGGGTTTAGGGTTTAGGGTTTAGGGTTTAGGGTTGCCCTAAACCCCTAAACCCGTACCCCTAAACCCTAAACCTTACATCCGAGATCCTATAACCCCAGGCCCCCAAGTAAGCTGTATGCCCTATATCCCCTTAGTCCCCTTAGCTATCAGGCCCGCGTATGGGGTTGATTATATAAGTTATACGGCCTCATGGCCCATCCTTGCAATGAAGATCTTAGGGCACTTGTCGGTGCTTGAGGCGAACAGCCAAACTCGAGAGAGTCCGAGTGTAGTCCAGTGGAAAGCCTCAGCTTCAGTTTAGGGTTTAGGGTTTAGGGTTTAGGGTTTAGGGTTTAGGGTTTAGGGTTTAGGGTTTAGGGTTTAGGGTTTAGGGTTTAGGGTTTAGGGGGCAGAACTGAGGACCAACTCAGACGAACTGTAAATGCTCTGAAGCCTAAACCCTAAACCCTGAACCCTGAACCCCGAACCCTGAAGATTGCCAGACACCCTAAACCCTAAACCCTCTATCTTGCAACATAGGGGGCTCAGGGGGTTTAGGAGTTCTCTGGTGGGGAGGCCAAAACACCCTGCATCTTAAGCTTTGCAAGTTGAGGAGGAAAGGGTCTAGGACAATACGGCAAGAAGAAGTACGAAGATGGCCAATGTTCCTGAATATGTTCCTCATAACCCCAATAAGCAAAAATATATAATGTCCCAAGGGCCTACCTAGGGTAAATACAACGGGAGCCCAGATACTCACCCTATATTTCCCTACATAGTCTTAAGCGACCCAAACAACCTCCAACATACCCAGTCAAACTAAATCGGGCGCAATATGTTCTTCAAGCGCTGAGGGCCCTAAACCCTAAACCCTAAGCCCCTAAACTTCGGCTCCATCATTAGGCGCTCCAGGAGTAGCTTGGACTTCGGAGCATCTGGAACTTTGTGGCTTCGAGGCTGAGGAGGTTTAGGGTTTAGGGGTTTAGGGGTTTAGGGGTTTAGGGGTTTAGGGGTTTACGGGTTTAGGGGTTTAGGGGTTTAGGGGAGGGTTTTTTGTCGCCCCCCCCCCGCCAAGCAGACCAGGGATTGAAAGGGTTTTGCGGCTCTTTGTCGAGTCGAAGGGATGCTTCTTGGAGGTTCATGGTACTTGCTGGCCAATTCTAATGTACATATAACCCACTTATAACCCCTTTAAGTGCCCTAGTACGGTTCGTCATGACTGGGCTAATAAGTACCCTGAACCTCCAAGTTCAGAACAGTGCGCACCACCATCTCTTTGTCTCCGGGTTTAGGGTTTAGGGTTTGGGGTGTAGGGTTTAGGGTCCGCATCACCCCAGAAGGTTTGTACCCTCCACCTAGACCACAAAACAACCCACCCAACGACCCAACAACCATGACTTCGGGTTGTTTAGGGTTTTGTTGTGCTGCAACCCGCCTGGCTGTCTTTTCGGGGTTGGCTGACCGGCCATGTTGTACAAGACATGTACCTCTATCACTACCCTAAACAACTTAACACCCTTGAAGCCTTCAACTGGAGCCGGAAGTTTTTAGAACTGAGAACTGGCCATTTTGCACTTGCCCTCTCATGGACTAACCCCCGGGATGAATAAAGGTTGCCCAGGAGCTGGTAATGGCTGTAAGAAGAGCGAGCAGCGCAACCTGAGCATGAGAGCAAAATCATCGTTAGGACTTCTCAGTTCTACGGAGGCGTGCTAGGTTCCGGTGATCCCAAGCGTCAAGTAAGGAATGTTCTCGATTCTTCACATCATGCATCAATGTTAAGGTATGACCCTGACCCTTAACTGGGGGTTTTGGGTTTCCTTGGATAGTATTGGTACAGCCCTGCAACCCTCCAGGTTTTTTCGACATCAACCCCGCTGCGGTCGTGCCTCTACCGTGACAGGAACCATCTGCCGAAACGGCGTTCCTTCTGCGCGGGCTGCGGAGACCTCCAGTGATTTCCGGAGTTTATAGGACTCATCGAGGGTTTGCAGCGGATGGCTGGAATCAACCGATTCTTAACTGCAAGGCAAGGCCAGGGGGCTTGGCGCCGGCCCAGCCAGCGGCCCTAAGCCCTAAACCCTTGCCACGTGCATGAAGTCTCGGGATGCGATGAAGACAAGCGCGCAATGGGAATAACCCTTCTGGTTCTTAATGAGTAGGGAATGAGGGAGTTCGGTGCCTTATGTATCCCGCTATATATACCCTTCAAGGGATTACACAGGATACCCCGTTCCCTCATTCCCTACTAAGAACCAGTAAGTGAAAAAGGGTGCCCTTGTTTGGTTTAAAAAAGATGCCCATCAGGGAACCGAAGCCCTAAACAAGGGAAAGGGCCTACCAATGCAAAGCCCAATCTTTGTGTACCTGTGTGTGTACACTACCTAAGAAGCCTGGCAAGGGACTTATACCGGCTTCCCTAAACCCTAAACCCTAAACCCTAAACCCTAAACCCTAAACCCTAAACCCTAAACCGGAATTCTTGAGAAAGAACCCTCCACTTCCTCGTACCTTTCAAGGAGCGCTATCCAGCTATCCAGCGGCTGAGTTTAAGGGCCCTTAACCCGACGATGCACGCTGAACCCTCGCGGATTCCGGTGTGCTGCCGTTGCTTGAGGACGAAATCAACCCTACATTTGGGGTCATATACAATGGGCTACTCTGATTCCTATTGAGGCATATGAACCCTAGACCCTAAGCCCCAAGCCCTAAACCCTAAACCCTTTTAGGGTTCATTTCGGCCGCACGGTTCCTTCATGTTGAGGTGAACGAAGAGCGCGCCAACCCAGCCGCCAACGCAGCCTCGAGCCGGAGATTGATTAGGGTTTAGGGTTTAGGGTTTAGGGTTGAGGGTTGAGGGTTGAGGGTTTAGGGTTGAGGGTTTAGGGTTGAGGGTTGAGGGTTGAGGGTTTAGGGTTTAGGGTGGGCTGGCGGGCTGCATCTAGCTCTCTCCCTCGCGCTTGCTTGGAGGTTCATGGTACTTATGAAACCTAAATTCAATGTTCTGAACAATACGTGGCGTAATCAGTGGAAGCACACCGCCTGTGTAGTGCATCCCCCAACCTTCTCTAGAGCCCTAACCCTAAATCCTACTAATAGGTATTGGGCACAAGGACGGGTTAGGGTTTCACAGGGTCATGGTTTCCTTATGGGCCTAGAGAGGGCTAGCAACACTGAAGAAGCTCTACCCCATAAGGGTTTCGGGTTTAGGGTTGGCGGTTTCGGGACATGAACGACCTGTGCGCTGCTGCCATGGGTTGCGCCACTCAGCCACGGCTGCATGCAGGTTCAATACTAGACCCAGGAGTAGCCCAGGAATAAAACGGGTGCTTGGGGATGTAGAGACAAAGGTGCTGCAGATGTACAGAACGAATACTTTACCGCCTGATGTCCTCTTTGACTGTCTTCGGCGCAGATATCTCGGCTTCTTCGCGCATCTCCAGCCAGAAGGGATGCAGTTTTCAGGGTGGCAAGGGCTTAGCCTAGACCCGCTTCTTCGGGGTAGAAGACCATTGTCTCAAGCAGCTGCTGAAGCCCTTGCCAACTTTGTAAGCGAGCAGAGATGGTTCTTTTGCGACAGGCCTCAAGGGGAACGAACTCCCTGGCTGGTAGTTTTGATCGAGTTTCTTGCAGTGTATGGTTTCTTTCCTGGTTGGTTGGTCCCGGGCATGACCGCCCGCATCCTGGTGTCTCGCTTCAGAACTTTCTTCTTAAGATTGTGCAAAGGCCTTCCGACCAGTATTCATTCCGTTAAACATGTTAAATCAGCGGCAGTCTTTGGTATGAAAAGCCTTAGTGGCTTCTATGGGTCCATGAGGTGTCAACATTTTCACCATCAGATGTTCATTTTTCTCCAAGCTAGCCTTGCTCAAAGCGTATGTCTCCCTGATAGGAAATCGCTTGGCCACAAGTGGACCCCCAAATTCGATGGTTTTGACGGTATCCCGCCGTATTAGTTTCCTTATTTTGTCTGGATTCAGAAGCAGCCTGAAGCGGCTACTCATTGTTACTTGTCGACAGGTCGCGGCCTCAGACACACAGTGCAGCAAAAAAAAACGGGTGCCCTTGTTTTGTCTTGTGTTAAGGGGATTATAAGGGAAACCCTAAACCCTAAAACAAGGAAATAAGGGCCTACTTAGTAGCATGTTTTGGAGGTTCAGGGCCAGACCCTCAGTCTCTCCACTGCTGCTTCCTTCAGGCTTACTTGGAAGCCCTTCTGAACTTAGAAAAAGGGGTGCGAAGTAGACTTGCTGAGTCCGAAGAGCCAAGTATCCCTAAACCCTGAACCCTGAACCCTGAACCCTAAACCCTAGCCCTAAACCCTAAACCCCAAACCCTAATCCCCCTAAATCCCTCTTTTAGGGGTTCCGGCCGACCCCGAGTTCAAACACGCTGAGGTGCCCATCAGCAGAAACAAGGGATACTCGGCCCAGGAGGGCCGCTGGTTGTACTGCCTCGGGTTTAGGGTTTAGGGTTTAGGGTTTAGGGTTTAGGGTTTAGGGTTCAGGGTTCAGGGCTCAGGGTTTACTGTCAGAGGATCTGAAAACTCCAGTTTCGGAAATTCGGCCCCAATCTTTACGTCTTAACTCAGTGGCAAGTCACACCCGTCTTTTCAGCAGCATGGAATTGCTGGGGCCTGGAAGCCTTCATCTCAACATACTTGGGTCGGTAATCCTAAACCCCTGACTATACGCGCCAAAAACCCTAAATCCTCTAGGCTACATAGGCCCCTCTTCAACGGCTTGATGCAATCTGCCTGGGGGGCTCCTCCCTAAGAAACCCTTTTTTGCGAATGGACCCTCTCAACCTGAACCGAGTAGGGTCTAAACCACTGTAAGCCTTGTACCGTAGAGCAAGATGGTTGGTTGGCATAGTATCTGTTGGTGTAGGGCCTGGGGTGTAGAGTTAAGGGTTTCACGCTTCGGGTTCGAGTGGCTCCAAAGCTTGGAGCAGCTGTGAAGGCCCTGACGTGAGACACCCCAGGCCCCTCAACTCATTGTGTTGCTGCAAGATGCCTCTTGCGTGTCATATGACGTGTGAACGTGCGATATCATAAACCCTCAAACCCTCTGACTCTACATGCCCCAGTCAGCCCTCAAACCTGCCTAAAATCGTAACACCCTACAACCCTAAGCCTAAACCCTAAACCCTTCGCAACACCCCAAAACCTAGACCTGGGAGCAACCTAGGAATAACAAGGGTACCCCTTTTCGTTTTAAGGGGATTATAGGGGAACCCCAACCCCTAAAAAAAGGAAAAAAAGGGCCTACTCCTGGTCCTAGGAACCCTAAACCCTAAACCCTAAACCCTAAACCCCTGGTGCAGCTCAAGCCGCACGTCGAAAAGCGTGAGCTTGCCAGTTCCCAGCGGGTCGTACCTCAAGCTCAGCTCTCAAACCCTCTACCCCTAAACCCTAAACCCTAAACCCTCAACCCAAAGCTCTAAACCCTACATGGTAGGATTTCGCCTAATCAGCTCAAGCACCCCCGAAAAAAAGGACAAGTGCACCAAGCACCCCAGATGCCCTAAAGCACGTTCAGTGCAAAACATCCCCAGGCTCTCATCCCCTAAACCTAAACACAACATCCATCGAACAACACAGGCTCCGGGAACAAAGGGGCGTCGCAGGCTTGAAGGACTTGGGGTGTTCCCTAAACCCTAAACCTTAAAAAAGCCTTAAGCCCTAAACCCTTAAACCCTAAACACCCTATACCCTAAACTCTGGGGTTCACAGCAGCAAAGCCTTTTCAACAGGCCCTGTATATGTAGTGGTCGATTACGGGTGGCCCTGAATGGCCACGTGAACCCTAACACTTAAACCCTCTCAGCCTATCCTGAGTTTTGGAGGTTCATGGGAACTTATAAGTTGAATTAGAAGTAGGGTAACGATAGTTGTAACCCCTATTCTCTGGCACTTGTCACCTTACGTCCCTACGTATGAGTACCTGGAACCTTCAAGTAAGGACCTTACAAACAACGACCACGAGACAATTCATAGCCCAGTAACCATGTTAATAATAAGGACATCCATTTTGGGGGGTTGGCTACTCTGTAAGATGAACCCATCACCCTCCCCCCCCCCCCGGCCCCCGAAAAGAAAAATAATAAGGGGTACCACGGTGCTGCCAAGGACAACCCTTGTCCAACAGAGCCCAGCGACCAAGCCAGCGTCAGGGCCGCCACCACGGCGGCCTTTGCCCACAGGAACTATTGGCCCCCCCGCCTAGCTCACCCCTCTGGTATTGGTATTTAGGGTTGTGGGCTTGCCTATAATGAAAGTCTGGCACGTTTGATGGTTTTTTGGGCTGTCTTTTGCGTGGCTTGGGGGCGTGCGGTTTAGGGTGGGAGGCTGCCGGCAGGGTTTAGGGTTCCCTAAACCCTAAACCCTAAACCCTAAACCCTAAACCCTAAACCCGAAAAGTTTCGGGTTCTTGCAGCTGACCGACCTCTCCTTCGGTTGGCTTTCTGTGCCCTCAAGACATGCAATGGTCGACCTGCCTTTCCTCGGGCCCGAGAGGAACCTAGGAATAAACAGGGTTCCCTTCTTGGTTCACAGGGGCTTGTGTATAAGGGAATTTCCGCCCCCCCCCCCCCCCCCCCCCCCCCCCCCCAAAAAAAAAGAAAAAAGCAGAGAGGAGAGGGAAATAGGCCCTACTCTGGATCCAGGGCCTGACGTTTTCTGAAGCTTTCTTAAGACCTCCGATGCATCTACTCCAGGCCAAGCCCCGAGCATGTGTTGGATTCGGTTCTCCAGAAAGTATGTTCAGTTCTCCAAAATGTGTTCCTTTGGGCTACCCTAGATAAGAAGGGCCGCCTTCTAATTAGGACCCCCAAAAGGACCATACCTCGGGGTCATCACCATATATATTCTTCGCAGCGCTGCTATTAAATTGCTGTGTCGTTGCTTGTGTATGTCTTCTATCGTTATTGCGAATTCACCGTTGCATACAGTTGCTGCAATGATAAGCGACAATCCTAGGAAAATAACTATGAAGTTCGTATGCTTCAGAGAAGACGTTATATGTTAAGCGCGCAATTTGTTGACATAGAATTTGTGGTAGTTGTTGCTAATTACATAGTATTCAATACTCGATTTTGACATACACACACACTACGTGTTGCACTACTTTGGTTGTTGTCTTGATTTCTGGTTTCTTTGTTGGTCATTTTGGCAAAAACCTTGTTATTCTGGTCCATGTTTTCGGGCAGAGACCAAGCGGCAAAGAACGCGCGGATCATCGTAGAGCGCGGAAACATTGTCGAGACCTGCGCCGGAAGGCAACGGAACACGCGCACACGACTCCACCATCATCAAGGGACTAAAGGAGGGACCCTTAGAAGGGACCTAAGGGGTTGTTTGGGGGTTGTTCAGGGGCAACTCAGGTTTATCCCTATATAAGGATTGTCTAGAGGTTGTACATAGGGGACCTTTTAAATGTCAGGAACCATCCTTAAGGGATATTGGAGTCCCAGAGGAATTCATGGAAACCCTGCCAGCCGCTCCCTGCTCCCGAAGACGCGAGAGTCGACCCCAAATTGCAAGCAGTATCAGCCGTGGTTTAGGGTTTTGGGGTTTACGGTTTACCTGGACCCCGACAAGTACCCTGTAAGATGCCCTAAATACCACAATTAAGGTACACTCAGGCCCTTGTTAAGGGGCACTTGGGGGGGTGCAGGTAGGGTTTGGGGGTTTAGGGATCGGGGTTTAGGGTTTAGGGATCGGGGTTTAGGGTTAGGGATCGGGGTTTAGGGCGTAGAGGCCCCGCGCGTTCCTCCTCGTAGGAGAAGAGGACGCCGCCGACAGGGGCCCCGAAGGCCACGGAGACGCCTCGCGGTGTTCAGGCTGAGGGTGTTTTTGTGATGTTTCCCCATGCGTTTACGGGGAAAAGGTCAGGACATACGGTCCACAGTATGTCATATTTTAGTGATTATAGGGTTTAGTTTAGGGTTTCCTGGCGCCCGCATAGGTGGACGAACCTATCAGCAGGTTTTAGGGTTCAGGGTGTATGGTTTGGGGTTTGTCACCCTAAACCCTAAACCCCTAAACCCTAAACCCTAAACCCCTAAACCCTAAACCCTAAACCCTAAACCCTATAGGGTTCATGGCTGAGCTCGAGGACCTCATTCTTCTTGCCTAGAAGGGCTCAGGAGTCGCGAGTGCAGGGGCTTGTGTTGGTGGGCTTAGGAAGTTTGATGAGTTGGATGCTTTGCTCTGTTGGAGGCTCGACTGGGATGCTCCGGGAATCTGGTTTCTCGTGCGGGGACTGCTACGAGGCGGGAGGGTTTCTGGCCACAAGCAGATTCGCCCTTAAAGGGGTCCCCTTCTCCTGTTTGCTTAACAACACCCCGCCCCCCACCAAAAACAAAAAAAAAGTATCTTCCTTTTCAGGATAATAGGGACAATTGTTTTGGACTCATGGTTTGTCTAGTTCCGCATTTCGAATTCCAAAGTCGCAAGTGCCTAGAGAGCCAGCCCACTACCTCTTCATTGCAGCTTATTGCGCTCTTGGGGCAGTGCTTGGAGGTTCATGGTACTTCTTAACCCAGTTCAAAATCTACTTATATCCCAATTATCACCATAGGGCTTAAGGGGCTTCAAGGGCACTTAAGGGGTTTACAAGCGGGTTTTCACTCAGTTCTAATTGGGTTAAAAGAACCATGAAACTCCAAGTAAGACCCTGCGGCGTGGAGCGCCTTACACAGCTTGCTGGAAGTTTTGTCTGGACTGGGACTGCCGCATGATTCCCCAGTCCTGAGACCTGAAATCGCGAAGCCTTTTAGGGTTTAGGGATCTTTGGGGTTTAGGGCCTCCCAAACTGTTCGTTGTATTTGAGGGACGCTGAAATTTTACTGGCTTGATTGTCTTGACGATTCCTTACAAAGTTTCGCCTGCTGCGCTGGCCACACTGAGGAGCTCCCGTCGACGACCCTCGTTTGCCTCAGTGGCTTCAGAGAGACTATGCGGACCGCCCTGAAAGCCGCTTGCAAACATATATTCCTACATGTGATCCTCTTAAGCCCAAAAAAGCAACAAATGCTTGCAAACATATTCCTACATGTGATCCTCTTAAGCCCAAAAAAAGCAGGAACAAAATGGAACAGATAGAATCCCAAAGGGCCTGCCTAGCAGTTCACACTGAACCAGCCTCGATTCGGGGGGGGGGGGGGGGGTTTGAGCGGGAAAGATGACGGTGCCAGGCCGCCAACCCTAAACCCTAAACCCTAAACCCCAAACCCCAAACTGCTTGCTGTCCTCCCCTGCCGCGAATTGCACGGCAGCATGGGGGTTTATAGCAACTCAGACGCATCCCCAAACTCAGCAACAACTTAAGCTGGTCCACTAGGATGGCCCCTAAAACCCTCTGAAAAAAAATCCTGGATGTGATCCTCTTCAACCCAAAATAAGAGGAAATATGAAACGTCCCAAGGGCCTACCGAGCTCATGACATCTCGACGAGGAATGTGAGGAGAGAGAACCCGAAGAAAGTGTCCCTAAACCCTAAACCCTGAACCCTAAACCCTAAACCCGAGGAGAGAGAAGCCGAAGAGAGTGTCTGGGCTTGGTGCTCCCTACTTAGGGGCTTAGGTCTGCAGGTCTTCGGCCTAGGATGGGCTAGATTCTATACTCCTCTTGCAACCTTAACAAGAACAACATGTTTAATATACCCTTGGCTTGTTTGAAATAAGAACGGCATGTCATATGCCCAAATTAATCAACCCTACAGGGGCTGCAGGCTTTTGAAGCTCAAGGGTTTGCTGTAGGCTTTGAGGCGCCACTTTGGGAGATGCGTTGAGGGTTTGCAGGCCTTGGATCACACTGCTTTGGGTTTTTGTGGGAGGTTTAGGCTTGTAGGGCTTGTAGGGCTTAAGCCTTTGGGGGGTTTAGGCTTTAAGGGCTGAGTCTGTGCTTTTTTTTGGTTGTAGGGTTGTAGGGTTTATAAAGGCTTTAGGGTTGTAGGGTTTGGGGCTGAGTCTGTTTTTCCTTTTTGTTTCCTCTTGGGCATTTTTTGCGCTGCTGGCCTCGCTGCTGTCAGCGTGACTGCTTATGGCTCATACTTGATATATATGTATATATATATATATGTATACACATATACTACACACATACACACATGTGTACGCGAACATGTGCGAAAATTAGAAACATAAAAGCCCAGAACATACATACACATATAATATATAGATATATATATATATACATGTTCATTTACAATCTTATATTGCATTCGGGGCTTAAACCGAAGACCCCAAACCCTGGAGCCTGAACTCAAGTCTCGGGGACACTAGGCCTGGGTTAATTGGATTTAGGGGCGCCTGCTAAAATAGAATCCCGATAATGTAAGGAACGTGCCTCTGTTGACTAGAGTATGTAATATCTCTATTCGGTTTTGTTTCCTAGCGTTAACCAAGCCATGTCTTTCTTGGGAACAGAAAATATCAGTGACAAGGCGCAGAATACCTGTCGAACCATTGGCTGCAGACATTGGCCCAGCAGCATGCCTGGCAAGCACATCATGTCACAGAGCACCCTGAACCCCATAACCTAAACTCTATACCCAATTTTGCACACTCAGTGAGTCAAGACTAGACATAATGGGCTCCGACATCCGGAGATGTAAAACTGTCATCACTTGTGAGCTTCTGCCCTTACAAGAGAGTGATTCTTCGTTAGACTCGGAGCTCTATCCGGTCCGCCAGAAGCCACGCCCGGGGGACATGTGCGACTTATGAGGACGGCCGGAAGCCTAAATTTAAAACCCTAAACCCTAAAGCCCTAAAACTCTCCACCCTAAAACCCTGAAACCCTACAACCCTACTAAAGCCCCTAAGCCCTGAGCCCTAAGCCCGGATCCCGAAGTCGAAAGACCTAACCTGATGAGTCCGGAGCCTCCCTGAAAAGGCTTGGTTTGCCATGGAACTTTTCCATTTCTGCAGATTATCTGGGTTGGCCTTGAAACCCTCTGAAACAGATATTATATATAGGGTCCCTTATGAACCCAAATAAGGAACATGTCCCAAGAACCAACCTAGTTATGCCCTTGGAAGCTTGATCGCCAGGCTTAGGGCTTTTTTTCTCCCACCCGTTTCGCATGCGTTTAGGGCTTAGGGTTTAAAGGTTGGGGTTTGGGGTTTGGGTTTCAAGTTTAGTTGAAACAGAGTAGGGCTCAAAAGGCCAGGTCCAATGAGCCCCGCACACAAGAGGATCCCCAACAACCCGCGAAGAAAGATTCCTTACACCGTCAAACCAATCCTCCTAAAACCCTATAAATCTCACATTGCTCAAGGGGCTTCCTTGTTGTCAAAAGTTCAGGGTTTAGGGTTTAGGGTTTAGGGTTTAGGGTGGGGTTTAAGAAAGGGTATGCTACGAACCGACAGTCGCAGACGGGAGTGCGGGGAATTGGGGACAACCTGGGCCATACGGGGTCCGTGCACCAATGTCGGAAAAAAAAACAACTTGGGCCCTAGAGCTCTTTAGGGTTTAGGGTTTAGGGTTTAGGGTTTAGGGTTTCTTACACAGGAACCACTTGGAGGCAGAAGTAGATACTAGAGATAGGCACATGATGGCACATGGATCCTTAAGGGGAGTGAGGCCGAAGCTACCCAGCGAACTGAAAGCAGGATTGACTACTAATTTGCTTAAGAAACCACCAAAAGCTCAAAATAATAATCTCATGTTGCTTTGGGGGATTCTTAAGCAAATAGTAGTTTAGTGTCAGGGTTTATGGTTTAGATCCCTGGCCAAGCCGCAATGTGCACTGTCCTTAGACCAGGCTGGCGCGCTAGTCCAGCAAGCATTTAGGACTTGGGGCCCTTTTTCCAAACAGCCCTAAACCCTAAACCCTAAACCCTAAACCCTAAACCCGAAAAACCCTAATCCCCATAAACGCCCAAAGCCCTAGGGCCGGCACAAGATGCAGAAGGAACGTCTGGGTGCGGTTTCTAAAGCTCAAGGTATTCGGGCAATGATGTGGTCAGTTCTCTACATTATGGTCCCTTTTTTGGGTACGGACCCTGAGTTATGATGGGGGCCACCTATAAATAGCAACCCTGAAAGAGACCACATTTTGGAGAAGTGACCATGTGTCACATGCCAATTTTGAAGGAAAACAAACAACGTTTGACATCGAGAAAGTCAAAAACAAATGCACAGCCTCCTCGTGCCCAAAAGCTCTCTCAGCTTAAACTACACATGAAGTCAATCGGCAAGCTAGGCTCACGAAGTCAAGCCTGGGATGGTGTCTAAGTGTTCCACTTGAAGGTTCAGGGCACGTATTAACCAATTATAACTTGCAACTGTACTTATAACCCACTTACAAGCCCCTTAAGTGCCCTCATATGGTTCTAATTGGGTTATCAGTACAGCTACCCGTACAGCTAGCCTAACCTTAAACCCTAAACCCCAAACCCTATACCCTTTTGCATCCGGGCTTGCGGAGTCGGCCGGGAATGGTCAGGAAATCGTGGTGACTTCAAGCCACGCTATCCGACCAGTATACTAAAGAACTCATATGGGCGTATCACCCTATACCCTAAACCCTAAAGCAGTTGGGCTGCTACCTGGCCTATAGCCTCCGCAGCTCAGCTTTCTTAGCAGTCAGCCTTCTCCCGAACCCAGTACAGTTACCCTAAACCCTAAACCCTAAACCCTAAAACCTAAACCCCCAACGCCTCGACAAAGGCATCAGCTTCATCAAGGCAAAAAAACCGATATGGGCTTTGGGCCTTGGTGTAAGTGAGGTTGTCTGAACCTTACCCACGCCCCTTAACCCTAGACCCTAAAGCCTGAACCCTAAACCCTTGAACCCTTGAACCCTGAACCCTGGAACGGGGGGGGGGGGGGGGGGGACCCTAAACCCTAAACCCTAAACCCTCAAGCTCGGCTTGCAGGAAAGGCACGGCCCTTCCTTGCCCAGCGCCAAGCCCGAGGACACAGACAGCATCAGCCCGAGGACCTTGACGGGACGTATCCAGGGGCCTGAAGAATACAGTAAGTTCGGGTCCCTTCATACATTATACAACAACCCCCCCCAAAACCTTAGTCAGTAGCCCTAAACCCTGAACCCTAAACCCTAAGCCCCCTATACAGTTAGGGTGGGCCTTGCCCAGTTTGGGTTGTTACATCACCGCCAACCATCTATAGCCCAAAGAGTAACAACTATCCTTAAAACCTACATTAGCATATAGAATTTACCCAATACAGCCCAATAATCACAACTAGTAGCCCAATATCTGTCAAAGTACTTTACTCATCCTATTTCTCAGGTGATGTAACTACACCCGAAACTGGGCAAGGTTAGGTCTATTCAATTTGTGGGGCATAGTATGGGGCATTTGGTGGGGCATTCAATGACAATTTAGTTGTATTATGAAAATTATCATTGGTTGAACATTTATTGTTTCAAGTATTCGCCGTAATCTTCTTCCAATTTTTGAATACTTATATTAATCCACTTCCACTCCAATGGATTAAGATGTTATTTCTTTAAGGCCTTTTCTTAAGAACATGTTCACAAGAAAATTCCCTGAATTCCTTCCTTCCCTTTAAGCCTAGATTTTTTACCAGCATCCAGACAAGCCCTACAAGTTTTTATTGTATATCCTTTTGGGATGTTTAGTTACAAGCTCACCTGTGTGTGTTTTATTTGTTTACATATGATACACTGCATATACTGTGTTTTACAATCACTGCCTGTAGGAAACTCAACAATATTATCTTCTAATGCACTCATTATTGTTAGGTGATAATGTTATGCATAGGTTTTCGTGTCTTCGCTATGCTTTATCTTGTAATAATCAGGGGTTGTAGGTTTCGGTTGTAAAATGTCCTTGTTATTCAGTTTAGTCAAATATGTATTCCTTTTGTTTTCATATGTTGCATCAACTGGTGTTCTGTTTAAGTTTCTTGTAGACCTTTCATTTAATAATTTATCTATCCTCTCTAGTCTCTCAATAACCTCTTCCTTGAACGCTGGTTTATCACCCATAATAATGCAAAGCTTAAGTTTTTAAATGAAAAACTTGTATACTAAAACCTTTATTATAAAAGTTTAATTCTCGGCAATTCTCGGCTCTATCTTATGTAGCACCAATTATGTGAATGTTCCAAGATACCTCCCTTTCTCTTGATGTCTGGGTCTCACACAATGGGTTGAAGCAGATGAAAAAAAAGGGTAAAGGGAATATCCAGTGGATAGATTACATACACGAGATTTTGTTAACATACAATGATGTAATGAAGCATTCCGCTACGGAAATGACGCCTCAAGAGGGACGAAGGCCATCAAACGAGTTCACAGTCAACTTGAATCTAGCCAGCAAGGCTAAGAAAAATAGGATGTACCCAGAGTTGGAAAAAGGGGATGAAGTTAAGATATTCAGGGAAAGAAAGCCTAATGAAAAGGAACGCAGAGGCAACCGGTCGCAAAACAAATACACCATCGAAAGAATAGACGAGGAACTAGGACAAAAATACTACTTTGTTAATGGTATGGAAAGAGCCTATTTAAGATTTGAGCGATTAAAGATTTCTTAAGAAACACACATAGCGAAAGAACTTCTTAATATATGATAATAGAAATGTTCAGTGAACAAGAACAAGAAGGGGTCATCAATCAGTTCCTGGATGTTCTTGAGATGAAGAAGATAATCAACAACAAAGTAAGTATGTGCCCCAGATGCAAATTTACACCGCAAAATATGAACCTACATCACTTATCATTATCTGATACTATTGTGCAAAAAATGTATGTACATATAGTTACAAAGAATGTGAGTCATGCGCCACGCTAAGAGAGTTGAAAGGTGATGTTTATGGTTGTAGCATGAAAAAACTGACAATGCAGTTGAAGCAGTTGAAGATAAACCTTGTATTGGGGAATACAGAGGGGGTGAGAAGGAGAAATGAAACACACAAATCTACTTTTATGTGAACCTAAACCCCTTCCCAACATACAAAAACTTCAATCAAAGGTATTCAAGAATGATACAAAATTCTACAACGAAAAAACCCACAAGGAAATCAAGAAATGTTACTACAATTTATGGCGCGATAAGGATGATATAAAATCGTTTTACACCAAGCTTCGTAATCAGATAATTGCAGAATACGACAAACCGTTCAAGAAAGTCGTTGATACAAAACAAAAGTTTGACAAATATGTGGCTTCACACATGAACCCAATAAGTGATATAATAAAAACAGCCTCTGTGATTATATCGCTAACAATGAAAAGCAAAATCAAGTTGAACACAAACTGTATTCTAAGGCGAGTCTTTCAATAATTCATCATGACGATGACTACTCATGGATACTCATGGGAAAGGTATTTGGATTCTAGACATCGATGGTTAACCAAAAGATGAGTATCTAAGAAGAAATGGTATAACAACAACCAAGGAAATTGACGACAACTATCTAGACCTTGACGATTCTGATTAGGCAAATAGTATTAAAACATTAATATTATTCATTATTCTAACTCCCTAAACCCTGAATCTTCAGTGCCTTAGTTTTTGTATGTTGTTTTTTGATTGTAAACAACTTTTTTGATTCACTAGACTAAACATAATGTGCAAATACTGACAATTTTCATGTTATTTGTGTTTTGTATCTTTTCATACCTCTAAATCTTCAGTACCTTACTTTTCGTATTTGGGTTTTTGATTGCTTTCTTGTTTCATGTTTGAAACAAAACTTTTGAGCCAAACGCCTTAGGGTTTTATAGGGACTAGGGGACAAAACCCTAAAACCCAACAAACCCCAAATCCTAAACGCAAAAAGTGCCAGGCACCTTCTGGGGCCGTCGCAGTTGCTTGACTGTTGAACAGTCGGATTTTCCCTGGCACCCCGTGCCAATCCCATGTCCTACACCCCTAAACTCTAAACCCTAAACCCTAAACCCTAAACCCTAAGAAGGGGCAAACCCTCCTGGAGTCGCTGTGGAAAGACTCGTTGGTGAAGACGCCGACCTGGCACGCACAGCTTAGAATGCGGTCTCAAGGGTTTAGGGTTTCGGGTTTAGGGTTTAGGGTTTATGGGTTACGGTGTGCAGGCTCTGTCTGTGCGGCGTGCGGGGCTTGCACGTGCATTGTGCGGGCTCTGCCTGTACCAAAAGGGGCACTCCGGACAAGTAGAAACCCATACATCACTTTCATCAGAGGCTCACGCAGCTCTGAATCATAACCAAGCCCATTCAGAACTCAGAATTGGCTTATAAAGGCACAGCCCAAGAAGGAACATGGCTCCTTCACATTGGCGAACTTCAGCCTCTACGTGGCGTCGTTGCACCGGGCTTGCGCGAAATCATCCTGCGCTGTACAGATACCTGTGCTCTACAGACAACTCATTGTTATTAATGCAGGGTCAGCGTCCCTCACTGCCTGCCGAATTCCTAGTATGTGATACCTCCAAGGAAGCACACACAAGCTTCTTGCAACAATCAGCGTCCCGACACAGCTTCTCCAAACGAGAAAGAAAAGGTACAATATTACTACCACTATCTCTAACAATGCCGTCAGGCTCGTTGGAGTAATCTGTACAGGTTTTATGTACAGGCATCCCAGCTTTCTTGCAAACCTTCAAGCCGTTGCTCACTCAAGCTTCAAATGTACTGCTCAACTGGCCTCGGTGATTGTACTCACAATCGCACTTAGTTACACGTCACCTTCAGATTCCTTCAGAATCTGAGGGTGACGTAATCGGCGTCACCGGTGTCGGGTTCTGGAAAGTACTTGGCTTCAAGAACATTTTCAACTTGAAGATGTTCACCAATGATTGTATCAGCTCCCTCGTGTAGCTCAAACCGCTCCCATTTTGTCTCGTCGCCCGAGTGGAACCGCCCGAGGTGAAGCGAATCAGAGCCAAGCCACTGATGATGTTGACATAATTCCTCCTTGACCATGCCGTAAGTGATTTTGTGCGCGGGGTTGTCCTCACTGACGGGGATGCGTAAGTCAACCAACTTGCACGGGATGCGTAAGTCAAGCGACTTGCACTGTGCACGTGAAGCCCAATGCCACACGACCTGCACGGGGTAGCCAAGGATGGGCCACAACAGCTCTTGGACAAAGCCTCCGAAGTCATCATAGCAAGGGCTGTGGGCTTCTTGCTTCGCATGGCTCCAGGCTTCCAGGAATCGTTGCCAATCTTCGTCACTGAAAGAAGGACGAGGATGTTCTGGATGCTGCCACACGTACTTGCGGAAGTAAGCCGCTTCAACATCTTGTCTGCGAATGTTGTAGGGCACGCAACCTGCCACGGGACGGTACCTAAACCCTAAACCCTAAACCCTAAACACTAAACACTAAACCCTAAATCCTAAACCCTAAACCCTAAACCCTAAACCCTAAACCCTACCGCTTTTTTATGGCAAGACTGAGAGCTAGGTTCTGTGCATCCAAGACACGAAGAAGGGTGTGAGGCTCGTTGGTTTGCCACCGACGCGCAACCGATTCCATGAGATCAGAAGTCTACAAGTGCAAAGGCAGGGATGCTCAAAATCAGCCAAAATGGCACCTGAATGAAAACAAGTTGCTCATGCTTTGTGGTATCTGATCGTATACAATCGGATGCGCCCTCACTTGCACAACAGAACTGACATTCAAATCATGCAAGGCGCGCCGTTTCGAAGTCGCCTCCCTTGATGTAGCGCCACTCCAGTGGCTCATTGGACAAACCCCACGCCCCATACTATACCCCATAAAATGAATAAACCTAACCTTGCCCATTTCGGGAAGTTACATCACCTGATGAATAGGATGAGTAAAGTACTTTGACAGATATCGGGCTACTAGTTGTGGTTATTGGGCTATATTAGGGTAAATTCTTTGTGGTAATGTAGATTTAAGGACAATTGATACTACTTGGGCTACAGATGGTTGACGGTGATGTAACAACCCAAACGGCCTACCCTAACTGTATAGAGGGCCTAGGGTTTAGGGTTTAGGGCTACTATAGGGGCCTGACTAAGGTTTTTTTTTTTTTTTTTTGGGGGGGGGGGGGGGGGTTGTTATAGTATAATGTATGAAGGGACCCGAACAGAATACTATGAGTAATTATTCCGACCCCTATGTTAGTAGGGTTCAGGGTATGCCTTAAGTGCTCGAACCCCCCAGTCGCTTCAAAACCCTTTGAGAAAACCGTTCCTGTGGTTGTCAGGGCCAGCCATCGGGTACGGGGCATGTGCTTCGCGTTTGGACTTTATATAGGGCCTTTGGCCAATATGGGATACTCAACCCCAAAAAAACTGAGACCTTAACCCTCGCCCCTCAAAGCACCGCAAATAATATAGCAGCCTTCCTGCGTACCCTTCTTTAAGGTACACTGCTCTCTTCTGACGATACCTGCGAAACTGATAACGCCTAAAAACCCTAAACCCCATACTGCCCTTCCCTGCTGCTAGTCTATGATGCTCTGCGACTTCAGGAGTCTTAGGCAAACCTGCTGTGCTTGAGCGCTGCCAACGGCCTTAGGGTTTAGGGCTACCAACGGCCTTAGGGTTTAGGGTTTTTAGGGTAAGGCCCTAAGCCTCCGAGGACTCTTCGTTTAGGGTTTTGGGTGGTGAAAAAAAAACCACACTGCTCCAGGTCTTGGCTTCTTTTTGGACTTTCCGAAACCCGAAACGCTAAACCCGAAACCGTAGGGGATTTTCTTGGGGGCCTTTATAAGGTTCTTGAAGATATACCCTCGCCTTGACGATGAGCGTCCGCAGGGACAGCACGTCTTTCCTGGGGCCGCGGTTTAGGGCTTTGGGGTTTTCTGCAAGCACTCTCTGCAAAAGCACCCTACACCCCTAAATCCTGCCCTAAACCCTAAACCCTAAACCCTAAACCCTAAATAAACCCTAGGGTTTAGGGGTTCGGGCTTTGGGCAGGCCTACCCCGAATCAATTCCCAACTACAGCGGGAGTATTGGTTAAGAGTTCCCTGCTTCAGAATTTGAGGGGCTGAAATTTTCCACACATTGGTTTTTTCTTTCCGCCCCCAACTGGGTGCCTTTGACATAAGAATTTTGAGCCCCCCCTGAAATTACGAGGGCACATTCTCAAGCCCGTGTTTTTGAAGCAAGCCCCCAATTTAAATCTGGGGTCTTAGAAGCTTGCAGAGCTTTACGCACGCAAGCCCCAACCACAGAATCCAGCAGTTACGAATCTGACCCCCTCAGATTCTAGGCTTCTCATGGTTGTTCACAAGCAGGCGCCGAAGGAAAAATCCGGAATTTAAGAGTCTGAGCCCCTTTGGCTCTTAACTTGTAAGCTTTTACACAAGCAGCCCAATCACAGAATTCCCCCCAATTAATAATCTAAGCCGCTCAGATTTCTTAGAGTCCTATTGTTTTTACACAGACACAAACAGGCCCCGACCACAGAATCCCCCAAAAAAGAATCTGAGCCCCTTAGGTCCTTAGCTTCTAGTCGGGCTTTTACACAAGCCCCAATCTGAAAAAGGGTGGGCCACACCCGAGAGCTCCATATCTACTTCATGATCAGACATGACGGCGTTCCGGTCAATCCTACAGTCCTACAGTACACTTATATGTGAAGGGATGCTTTGGGCTAGTGGTTACAGCGTCCTCCTTACGGCCTGAGGTTGCCAGCTCACGTCCCCGCTAAGCACGTGCGAGGCATCTGAGCCCTCCTCCGAATACCACATACGCACCTAACAAGTCACTCTCTAGTTAAGAACCTGAGCCCCCTGACCTAACACTCGCACATTCTCAACCAGCGCTGGCACTGTACTTAAGCTGGAAGGCTTCAGGACAAGGTAAGCCCAGGACGGGACGTTCGTGGCCCATGGCTACCAGACCCTGAAAGCCTTCGCCGATTCTTTCTTATACACCTTCGGGTCTTCTTGGCTTCGCCCGGCGTGCCACTTGCTAAGCCCTAAGATGCCGATGTCTAGCAGCAACCATTAGGCTTCTGGCTTGTGGCTCTTCTTCGTTTCGGGTTTCGGGTTTCGGGTTTCGGGTTTAGGGTTTAGGGTTTAGCATTCGTGCCCTAGGCCTAATAGCCGCTCGAGGGGGCGAGGGGAGGAGGAGTTAGGATCTTGCTGGCCCTTCTGGATCTCAAAGTCCCAGAGGCCTCCACCCTAAGCCCTAAGCAAAAAGAGCCCCCAACCCTAAACCCTAAACCCTAAACCCTAAACCCTTTAAGACCTAAACCCTCAACCAAAAAAAAACAGGGCCAAGAGGCATAACGAAGCCACCCAAGATGGTCTTCCTTACGGAGGCGGGCAGCTTCGAGCCCAAATTTTGGGGGCTGCTGAGAACCCCTGAGCCCTGTAAACTTCCCAAAACCTACCAAGCTCACCTTTTTTGTAGGGTTGCCTAAGAATCCCCAAAATCGTGTCATATTCAAGATATTCAACACGCCATGCAAAGTAGGTTTTGGGAAGCTCATGGAGGTAGGGTCTACAATTGGTCCCCTTCGGCTTCATTGGCGAACACGTGTACAGAAGATGTATACCTCTCATATCTAGGTTGCGCAGTAACTTAGGATTAAGGGGTTGATAACGGAACCTAAATGCCAAAACTAAACATGCACAAGTATGCCTTGTACGTGTTTAGAAAGTTTAGTATTAGGAGTGGGCCGCTTGAGGCTTCCAACAATTTAGAGGCCTTTAAGAGCTTACCTGAAGGCTCCAATGTAGTTCCTTTTTGGGTTAGTTATACGAGGTTCTTGTATACTACCCCAAACAGGTACTACATAGGAGCCTTTGGGTAGGGCCTTCAACTCGCACCAACGTGCCCAATTCTTCAAGCCAGCCAAAAGTCACGCATCCTACACCCATTACAAGACTCCAACTCCCTCAACTCGAAGTCCCCCAAAGCACCCTAAACCCTAAACCCTAAACCCTAAACCATGTTCCCCACAGCCAAGGATCACTTCGGGGATTCCGCTGCCGCGCGCGGTCGGAGCAAAAACCTGCGTCCCAGCTTCCGGGGTTTGCGGCTTACACCGAGGATGTGCCCAGATAGATACTTAGGGTTCAGGGCTTAAAGTATGGGATGCCCAAAGGGCCATCTATATATATATATACACACAGATATATATATATATATATAAATAAATATCTCTCTCAAAGTATATATATATATATAATTTATTTTTCTAATTTCAAGAAGCCACAAGTGTGTAGGGGGGAGTGGGGCTGGGGAGGGAGGAGGCGGGAGGGGGGAGCGGGGGGGAGGCGGGGTGGGGGAGGGGGGGGTGGGGGGGGTGGGGGGGGGTTTGGAGTTAAGGTTTAGGGTTTCTGCTTCGAGGATCCATGCACCCATACCGTAATATGGGGGCCGTAATTGCTAGAAGAGGATTGGGGGTTACGAGGGACCATAAGGGAATCATACTATCAGTAAGTATTTCATTCCGACCCCCAGGGCTAGGAATCTCTTGGCTCCGTTTAAGCAGACTCCGTGTGTGTGTGTGTGTGCGTGAGTATACGTGTATACAAATGTCCGCATTCATGTGTAAATGTATATGTATATACATATACACATACACACCTACAATACCCTTTGCGTAGTCCTTGGAGTTTGTTTTGGTAAGAGGAAGGAAGTCTGGCAATCCGCCGTGATGGCGTACTTCACGCTAGCCTGGTTATATGGCTGCGGCAAACTTATTGTCTTGGCCTGGGCCACCCACCGGGTAGGACCTTGGAGGGCCTTGGGCTTCAGGGCTGTTCGGTGTCCGTGTTGTGAACACCTGACCGTGGGCAAGCTAATCTCTCCCCCGCACCTATGCCATGAATTCGCCCCGGCAGCCGGTCGCAAGCCGTAAGGGTCCATGTACCTATATGTACTTGGGCCGGGCTCCCATATAGTCGCTTCAGGGCCCAAATATACACCACATGGGTACATGGACCTTGAGGGAAGGCAATTCGCGCGTTCTGAATTCCAGGATGGGCTATTAGGCCCTATAATCCCCATAATCAACTCCATAAAGGGCTTTTCTTAGGGGTCATAGGGTATAATCGCCCGTCCTGGTTGCTACCGAGACGATTCGCGATGGAAGCTGAATAGTGGACGTGCCATTGACACTTCGACTCGGCGATGAAGCCCTCCCTCGGCATCCTTTTCAAAGGCTTGACCCTAGACCCTAAACCCTAAACCCTAAACCCTGAACCCTAAACCCTGAACCCTGAACCCTGAACCCTGAACCCTGAACCCTAACTGCTTCAGAAAAGACGGCAACCAGCGCATCAGCAGCTGAGACAGTGCAGCTGGGATGAAAATGCCACGATGTCTTGTACAACAGCTCAGATCGTAAGCTGCAGGAATCCTTTGCGTCTTAGAGGGGTTCAGGGTTTAGGGTTTATGGGTTTAGGGTTGATGGGGGTAGGGCTTAGGCTGAGCTCTACGGTCTGGCACCCTGAGCCCTAAACCTTCGGTTTCGACTAAACCTTCGGCTTAGGATTTAGGGTAAGAGCCCCAAGCCTGCTCTTGTCCGGCCATTTAGGAATCCTGCAAGGAGGGGAACCTGCACAAAACAAGTAGTTGCTAAGGGCTGGGGTTAACCTTAATTGACCCCTGGACCCCAGGGTTAGGTGCCAACGGTTGCTTGGCCAAGTTTCGAAGATCCATCAGGGTGACCATAAAAACCCTAAACCGCAAACCCTAAATCCTAAACCCTACCTGGACCCCCAAAGTATGTAAAATATTGCCCCAAACCATAAAAACGGACCGTCATTTTACATGATTTGGGGGTGTAGGTAAAGCCTAAACTTTAGGGCTTCGGGGCTTATATAGGGTTCATTTTAGACAACTATGCTTGTCATGTTCCCTTGGGCCTATGAAAAAAAGCAAGATGCAACGTACCGCTTGTGGTGCATGTAGTGGCTCCGTGAAGCAGCCCAATGTTCGCATTGGAATTGGGATCGTTCCATGGGAAAGGGGGAAACCTCCCTCGAACTTTCCCAAGTTGTCCGAACAATAGGAGTACTCACTTCGAGGGACCTCTACTGAAGATGTCAACACGTTATCGAGTGTATTCGCGTATATGTCTTCTCTACCATGGGCTGCCATGCATGTTCGTGCTTGCATTGGTGACGAGTGTCATGGCCAGAACGACATGGGACTCTGAAGCCAAAAACCTAAACCCAAGATAGGGGCCTTCATACTGAGAAGAGAGTGTTGGGGGTGGCGGGGGGTGGGGGGTGGGGGGGGTATGATACTAGAACTACAAAGGGGGCCATAAGGGAATGCGTTAGTCATTACTTCGACTCCTATATTACTCGCAGCACCTGCGTAAACAGCCACGATGCACCTCGACACACTAGACAGCTCAGCTGCAAGCCTTCCTTAACGACTTCCCTCCAACAAAAGGTGATAGTGCTTAGGGTTTAGGGTTTATAGGGTTTAGGGCTTAGGGCTTATAGTGGGTTGAGGAAAAGTGCTTAAATTTCACAGGGGAACCCTTTATAACCCCTTGTTTGCATCCACGCCTCCCAGAGGTTGCTGGGGAGGTTGTTGGGCCTATACCCAAAATCCTTCAACCCTCAACCCTAAAACCTTCTGTCTAGCCACAGCTGAACCCTAAACCTAAGCCCTGACTTCTACCCTCAGAAGAACACTATCCTTCAGGTTCAACACAAAAAAACCCTAAACTCTAAACCCTTTTGCAACTGGGACTTGATGACTGCCAGAACCCTAAAACCCGAAACCAGCCTTCGGGAATTGACTCGGGTGTTTGCGTTGAATGACGTTTTCCGAAGAACCCCCCCTCCCCCTCCAAGAAAAACAAAAAAAAACAGTAAACGCTAAACCTTGGCATTGACTCGGGTGTTTGCGTTGAATGACGTTTTCCGAAGAACCCCCCCTCCCCCTCCAAGAAAAACAAAAAAAAACAGTAAACGCTAAACCTTGGCAAGTTCCCCCTTGTACTAACAATCCTCACAAGGGATTCGAATAGGGGGGGGAGGTACTAGAATCCCTGTTAAGGACTGTTAGTATAGGGGGGAACATCCCAATCTGAAACCCCAAACCCCAAACCCTAAACCACAAACCCGAACCCTAAACCCTAAACCCTAAACCCTAAACCCTAAAACCCTAAACCCCCCAAAAAGGGAGCCCGCCTTGACCAGGAAGGCTGAGATCGTGGCCAAAAGAACGCCCACCGCGGCGTAGGCGAGAAATCCCCGCGAGTTAGCCTCCATCTCTTTGGGACTTCTTGGGGCTTTTATAAGGCTTTGATAAGGCTTTGTAGGGCTGAAAGGGTTTTTGGGGTATGCTCGGGGCTTTTGGGGGCTTGCAGGGTTTCATAGGGCTTATAGGGTTTGTGGGGTTTAGGATGTGTAATTCTTGGGGCTATTGGGGGGCTTAGAAGGGCTTATTGTGCTGATAGGGTCTGTTATAGGGTTTTATGGGGTTCATGGGGCTTAACATGCTTCTGGTTAATTTGGGGTTTATGGGGTTTAGGGTTTGAAATTATAGGGCAGGGTTTAGGGTTGAACGTGAGGGTGGGGTGGGGCCGGGGGGGGGAGGGGGTCCTTTGAGGGCCGGGCCCCTTTAAAAGGAGACTCCGAGCTTGTTCGAGGCTCCCATCTCTTCACTCACAACCTCTCTGCAGTCTCGCTCCATGGTATGTACTCACAGAACGCCGGACATTTCGCGCATAGGGGGGCCACCCCTTCACGCCCTATTGCCCCCTATCTTCACAAGCGTGGCATCTCCGCTTTCTCACCTCCATCTTCGGCTGGCCAAGACCAGCGTGGCATCATGTTCCAAAATTCTCGCGGCATCTTGCAGTGCGTTGCATCATGCTCCAAATTCCCATGCAACCAGGACTCCCACCTGCAGACCAGGAATTCAAGGGTGGCAGCGTAAATTGTTGCTGAATTCATGATGCAATCCAATTCAGGGGCCTGTTTCTTGTCGAGACACGCCATTGCTCACACGCATTGCCAGCGGACAGATATCATGTCGCGCAGGAGGTCAGGCAGGCAGTGTATCGATCATTCGGAATTCCCATGCAATGGCCACTTCATGCAAATCGTCATAGTCATCATCAGAGGGGCGACTCCTCTTGCAGGCACCTCTTTCCAGTGGTCCAGCGACAGCCCAGCTCATCTTACGATCTGCCATGGCTGTTTACTAGAGTATGCCCAATACATGCAAGGGGGAGCACACACACAAAGAGAGAGGAGGGAGAGCAAGAAGGAGGGAGCTTACAGATGTTGGCGGATACACTACTTCAAGATATCGTCTGTTATGTCTATCCTCATCATCGTCATAATCCCACACCACCGCCCGTCCCCCCCTTTGTCCCCCCGGCTTTTCATGTTGTTTGTTTTGGTACCCCATTTCCCGATCATTCAAATATTTACTCCGTTCCTGCTGCGCCCAGACCTGTCTCTGCCCGCATGAGGGCAGCAGCCCAACCTCTTCATCGGGAATTCAGGACTTGAGTTCGGTTCCCTCAAGATCCCAAGGGTCCCCGAGAAAGCCTAGGAAAATTCGAACAAGAAAGCCTCCCCACATCCAAAGGAAAAGGGTTCCAAGGTTGCAAAACAATAAGTCCCTACCTTGGGAACATGTTCCCCCTAAGACTAATCCTTCCCGAATAGGGATTCTAGTACCCCCTATTCTGATCCCGATGAAGGACTGCTTCTCTAAGTTTAAGGGGAACATCCCAATCCCTTCCTTAAGAGCGTGAAATATGGGGGGGCCTGAATGATAAGAAGAGGGTTTTGAAAATGATTAGAGTATAATGACAAAGGGACATAAGGGAATACTACCAGTGATTATTAACCCCTCAACAATAAACCCTAAACCCTAAACCCTAAGTGCGTCTTCACAGCATGTGCAGCGCCAGCCTGCCAGGGACCCGCAGCGTCAGGAGGCGCCGACCACGGGTGCCAGGACACTGCGAAGCCTTCGCCTTTAGGGTTTAGGGTTTAGGGCTTAGGGCTTAGGGTTTAGGGTTTAGGGTTGAAGGTTAGGGGATGATATTGGGTATTGTGGCCTCGAACCCCCAGAACAATGGCCGACAACCCAGCGCGAAACCTCGACAAAACGCGCATTACAAAGCCAAAATGACTCTTGGCAGACCTGGAACCCTGTTATTGTCATAAGAGTACCGTTTCTTTGGATGGTTACTTTACAAGGGAACCTTGAACCAAGAAACAAGGCAAAAGGGTACCACTGGGATACCATGTACCCTACCCCCAAACTACCAAGGATTTCGTAAGTTGGCCCTAAAGCCTTAAAGCCCTAAAGCCCTAAAGCCCTAAAACCCCTGAAACCCTAAACCCCTACAATCCTGGAACCCTAAAGCCCTGAAGCCCTAAAACGTTTTCGGGCAAAGAGGAGCTTTTAGAACCCCTGCCGAATCTACCTTGGAAGCTACTACGAAACTGTAGGTAAATAGGGTCCCAAGCAAGCAACATGTCTGTCACTCTCACGACCCTGCACACACGCTCACACTGTGTCCAAAGGTTCTAGCCGTTTCCAGCAACCAAAAAACCTATCAACTTTCTTACCCTAAGGGTCCATGTACCTAAATAGGGTCTACTTGGGCCTTAAAGTACCTCCTTTATAGGGACTTTGGGGCCCAAGTATATGATACCCTAAACCCTAAACCCTAAACCCTAAACCCTAAACCCTAAACCCTAAACCCTAAACCCTAATGACGTACATGGGTTATACGCACATGTTCACCCGAATTCTTCAGGACGACCGGCCTTCCGGGCTCACTGAGGGGTAGCTATACCTGGGAGGCACTTCGTCTGCTGGGGTGTAGGGTTTAGGGTTTAGGGTTTAGGGTTTAGGGTTTAGGGTTTAGGGTTTAGGGTGTAAGAGTTTAGGGCGGCTCTTCGTTGGGGTGTAGTGCTGAAGGCTTCGGGTTGGGATTTCCCTTCTCGCGTGGGAGACAAATGGGTTTAGGAATTCAGAGTTGTTGGGGGCTTGTACTTGGAGGTTCAGGGTAATGACTTATTAACCCAATTATATCTGTACTTATAACCCACTTACAACCACGTTAGGGCACTTAAGGGGCTTACAAGTGGGTCATAAGCACAGATACAGTTTTGTTTAACAAGTGCCATGAACCTCCAAGTGGGGAGCCTTCAGATCAGCTTCCATGGTTCAGACTTTCAGGTCTCAGGGTCCATTCTGGGAAGTCCCTAAACCCTAAACCCTAAACCCTCAACCCTGAACTCTAAACCCTAAACCCTAAAGGTCCAATCTACCTGATTGCCCTAAGGGCCTAAGGGTCCCTGGGCCCCAAAGTTCCTATGAAACACCTTCAGTTTGTGAGGGGGGTGGGGCTGGGGCCCCATTATAGATCCCCAACTGTGGCTTTTCCTGGGAGCTGGGTATAATTTGAAAAACCCATTTCAGATTTCTTGTTGGTTATGGACTTGTCGGTGTTAGCTATGGTTTGGTTCTCTAGACCACAACGAATAGGTCGTGAGACCCTTCAGTGAAGGGTTGACGTGAAATAAGCTGGGAAAGGTCGAAAATGGTCCTATCCCCATTTCAGACCTCCGATTTCCTGACGCTCAAGGGTCACCATTCCAGACCCCCACAAGCTGAGCGGATCCTATGCATAGGCAGAGGCGGAAATGCGACAGTTGCTAGCAGAAGGTCCATGAGCTAGTGATAAGTAGCTACCAACTAAGAAAGCTTGCGACTACCAAATGGGATTGTAGAGTGCCTTTCTTCCTAGGTGTCCAGTAACCTGGGGGAATTAAAGGTAAACCTTTGGGATAAAAGGCGATTATACTACCCTGAAAAGGTTAAAGGTTACCGACTCTACCACTAGGTCTTGTAGTATGGGTATGGAGTCCTGAAGGGTTCACCAGGCCCCAGGCCTAAACCAGGAGGATGTTGGGCAAAGGGTCGGCAGCTCCGAGAGGGATGTCTTCTAAGGGATAGCTTCCTTATTCCGGGTGCCTATTCGCTGAGGGAGTTCCACAATTTTGAGGTCAATTCATTCAGCGGTCGCACCTGGCCACCTGGATTCTATTCACTCCCTATACGCACTCAAGCACTAAGTGAGCCGAAGCTCTGACTGATCCCTAAATCCCACGTGGAACCACTCCGGACAGACAAGCCCTACCCTCCCTACCACCCCACAACCGTCCCTAAACACGTGAAAAACGCCCTGACTGACCCGAAAACACCCTGAGACCCTAAGGCCCCCCCAACCTGAAAGCCCTAAACCCTAAACCCTAAACCTAAACCCTAAACCCTAAACCCTAAACCCTAAACACACACAGTAGAGACAAACGGTTAGACTCCAAACAAATGGCCTGAAGACGTGCAGCATCTCCGACGCCTTGCGACTTGCGGCTGTAGTGTCCATGGGGATTCAGAATTCAGACATTCTCACGCCAGGATCCTCAAAATGACCAGAGAGCCCCAACACCCCTTAACTAAAGATACGATACCTTAACTTAAACATAAAAGAGTGCGTATTATACCTTGTTTTCTTAAGGGCCACCATGCTTTCTTAGGGATGGTGGGTTGTATCCCCACTCCATGAATCTCCCCGGCCTCCTCCTCCCCAAGACACTCCCTCAAGGACCCCAGAAGATCACCCGAAACCCAAAACCCTAAACCCTAAACCCTAAACCCTCGAAACCCTACTGGGATGGCCCTTTAAACGCCTCTAAGACATCTTGAGTATGATCCTCTTAAACCCAAGAAGGGAAACATGAAACCTGAAGGTTCTGAGGTCCCTCCACCACAAGGGTTTAGGGTTTAGGGTTTAGGGTTCAGGGTTTAGGGGTTAACGCCCAAAAAGATTGCCTCAAATCAAAGACCCGCGTGCAAAAGAAGCCAAAGAATTTCAATGAGGGTCTTTGGCTGCCATTGCTTCTCTTCTCGTTGAGCCTCTTTGAGTTTGATTGCTGCTTACCCTGAGTCCCATGTCCAGTTCACAAAACCTTCAACATCTAGCTTGTGCGGTGTCACTGACTTATGCAGAGTTGCGTTGGTGACTAACAGCGCGGCGGCTCGCAGGGTGGAAGGCTTGGAAGTGCTGTGTAATCATTCAATGGCCTCGAGAAGTCTAGTTCATGGTGGGGATAATTTTGAAAAAAATCAATCGTTATTCCTTGTTGGGTTTAAGTACCCTTAAACATGTAAAATGTTACCCAACTATGACAAAAAAGTAGGGCTCAGTGATTTAGCGCCGTTTTGAGTCTGACTGCGTGGGATGGAGCGATATTGAGCTGGATTGAGCTAGATTGAATGAGATTGAGAGCGACTGTGATAAACCCTAAGCCATGGGATGTTCCCCCCCTCATACGAACAGTCTTTACTAGGGATTGTAATAAGGGGATACTATAAGCCCCATGAAGAACTGTTAGCATAAGGGGGAACATCCCAAACCCTAAGCCCTAAACCCCCCAGGAGAAGTCGATTTGAAGCGCTCCAAGCCATACAGTTTAGGGATAGTTTGGGGCTTCGGATTCTATATAGCGGGTTCTAGAATCCCGATTCAGGACTGCTAGTATAAGGGGGCAACAGAATAACCCCCACCCTCCCCCCCCCCAAAAAAAAAAAGACGAAGCCACCTTCTCAATGAAGGTGCCGGTGGAAGCCGTGAGGACCTCAGAGCTTTGAGACTTTTTTTGAGGGGGTTTAGGGTTTAGGGTTTAGGGTTTAGGGTTTAGGGTTTAGGGTTTAGGGTTTGGGGTTTACGGTTTAGGGGACCTCTCGACCTTAAGTTGTTTAGGGCTTTTAGGGTTAACCCGCAATTTGTACTCGAAAGGTGGGTTCTGAATGTCCGCCCGCAGACGCAAATAGGAATGCCTGAGTCGTCGAGTGCCCTGGCCAGCAAAGGCTTTACAACTCTACTCGTGGGGGTTAGGGCTTTTGTCCTTGAAAGTCTACATACCCAGACCTCGTCAAAAGCCCATGATATGCTACGAACCCATGAGGGGTTTTGCAGAGATAGAAAAAAAGTCAAAGCCCCATAGAAACTCCACGAATCCTTGGGAAGACTCTCTCAGAGGCTCTGGGAATTACACCCTAACCCCTAACCCCTAACCCCTAACCCCTAAACCCTAAACCCTAAACCCTAAACCCCAGGAAAGGGGCTCCAATCAGAGCTGGCAGGATCCAGCTGGAGAGAAGGGGCATGTAGGCGTTCCTCCACAGGGCTTAGGGTTTAGGGTTTAGGGTTTAGGGTTTACTCAACTACCCCGTAAGAAAGGAAAATAGGTTCAGGGTTTTCTTGTTGGGGGTTTGGGGTTTAGGGTTTGGGGTTTAGGGTTTAAGGTTGAGTCCTAAATTGCATATAGGTCCTACACTGCATTTCGGGATCCTTACGATGATCCCCGCAAGGCACTTTCCTTAGTCAAGGGGCATTGCTCTAGCTGGGTTTTGCTTTCTGGCTCTTAGCAAACTCTAAACCCTAAACCCTAAACCCCTAAACCCCTAAACCCTAAACCCGAAACCCTAAACCCTAAAGCCATCTGAAGCAGTGGGGGAGTTGGGTACCAGGCACCTCAGTGCCCTAATCCCTGCCAGGGAGGCTTGCGTGATCAGACAGCTGGCGCATCTGCCGGATGCTGAACTTGGAGTTTAAAAGCATGAAGTGGCCAGCTCTTGAAATTGGGATTCTTCTCTTGCTATGAGTATATATATATATATGCATGTCATGTGATATAAAGTGTGTATACATATCGTATCAATTTCGAAAGACACATATATGTATATATACACATATATATATATATATCATGCCTGCGGTCTGCGAGATGGTCGACGTCATGGATCCGCTCGCTGCACCAGTTGACCTTGAAGTCTGGGGGGGGGGGGGCGGGGGTTCTCATCCTGCACTTCCAGGGGCTAGGTTTAGGGTTTAGGGTTTAGGATTTAGGATTTAGGGTTTAGGGCTTTGGCAGATTCAACACGTCGACAATGAACAGGGCTGGAAAACGGTCAAGAAAAAGCGAGGAAACTGCAGATTGCCGATGGGAACGCCACGGTTCATACTCCAGCTTCCGTGGATGTTTGGGGTTTCGGGTTTCGGGTTTCGGGCTTAGGGAAATCCCAAGCCCTAAGCCCTAAACCCACTGCGTCCGGCCCGAGTCACAGTTTCGAACGCGGGCCTGGGCTGATGAGCACTCTAATCTAACTTGGAGTTTAGGGTTTAGGGGTCTCAGGGCTTTAAGCCCTAGGGATTTTAGGGTTCAGGGTCCCCACTGCAAGCCTATAACTGTACAGGGTTTCGGGTTTAGGCTTAGGGTGTACTCTACAAGCCACATAAACCCAAGCCCTAGAGGGTCAAAGACTCGTCGCGGGGGGGGCATTCTTCCCTAAGCTCTAAACCCGAAGCCCCAAATCCACTTCGGGAACAATGTCATATAGAGAGCCCCGTGGTGCCTACAGGGGCACTCGGATTTAAGGCAACACCCCACTGGGAAACCCTTTTTGCAAGTCTACTTCGTATGCCCTAGAAACCCTCTTATAAAACCCCATAAACCACCTTATTAACCCTACTTTACTGAGTCAAAAGGGCTTCCAAGCAACTCCCTAAACCCTAAACCCTAAACCCTAAACCCTAGACTTAGTGATGTGCTTGCTTGGTCTCCTCGGAATCTTCAAACGAGAGGAAGCCCACTCCTGAACCCCCAACACCTCAAGAGCTCCAAGTTCTGAAGCCCCAACAACGTTTGGGGTTTAGGATTTGTTTAGGGTTTAGGGTTTAGGGTTTAGGGTTTAGGGTTTAGGGTTTAGGGCTCAAAACCTAAGCCCTAAACCCTTTGAACACGGACTTGTCGGCAGCGATAGCCAAGCCTGAGAGCAACTGGCCCACTCCTACTGAGCGAGGCCAGCAAAACCTGCTCAAGAACCCTCTAGTCAAGAGGATCTAATCCCCCCTACCCCCCCCCCCTTCCCCCTGCCCCCCCCCTACCCCCACGCCCCCTCCCCCCAAACCCTAAAAACTAACCCTAAACCTAACCCCCCCCCCCCCCCCCCGCCCCCTCAAAAAAGAAAACCCCCTGAAGCCTTTTCAAAAAAGAAAACTCGAAAGCCCTGAAGCGGGATGTTTCTTTTCATAGCCCTTGATGGGGATTATTATCCCCCCCCCCAAAGGAGCTGTTCGTTTAGGGCCCTTACAGCCTTCAATCGGGACTATCGTAACCCCATTTTGATCCATATTAAGAAGCTGTTAGTAGAAGGAGGAACATCCCAACCCTAAACTCCGTTGCATTGAACGTCTCTCCTTAGGGATTGAAGTAGCCCCTGTTCTAATCCCTTGTAAGGAGCTGTTTCCCTAAACCCTAAACCCTAAACCCTAAACCCTGAACCCTAAAGCCTAAACCCTAAACAGAACAGCCCAAGCGGAAGCCCCTGAAACAGCAGCCCAGGTGCCAGAGGATCTTGTTCGTTGGCTCGGCGGCGGACTTCGCCTGCCCATGATAGCGGGTCATAGAAACAGGGTGTGGGGTTTAGGGTTTAGGGTTTAGGGTTTGGGGTTTGGGGTTTGGGGTTTAGGGTTTGGGGTTTAGGGGTTTAAGCACAAGTCGTGCTTGAAGGGCTCAGGGCTGCGGGCCGAGGGCTGTAGGAAGTCTAAACACACGCTTACGAACAGAGAGTGTTAGTTTTGAGTCGCATATGTTGGGATGTTCCCCCTTATACTAACAGTCCTTCATACATTCAGGACTGTCAGAAAAGGGGGAACATCCCAAGGTACCCCAAAGAGAATAGAATCCCTTAAAGGGACCCACCAAAAAAAAATCCCCTTTCTTCAGAAACCCACCATGTGTGCCACAAAGGCCGGTAGGTCACCAAAAAAGGGAAGTCGGAAGGTGTTCAGTTGGGTACCAACAAAGACTCGATCGTTTAAGCCCTAAAGCCCTAAATCCTACACGGATTTGGACGGCTGGGGAGGAGGGAGAAAGGGGGAGTTCAGGTTTTACAGGGTTTAGCCGCGGTCGGTCTTTTCCCAGATTTTGCACATACATGCGAGCCTGACTCTTAGGGTAGCTACATGCTCGCTTGGTATGGGCCCTCACACTAAGGGCCCATGCAACTGTTAACGTAACTATACCCTTTAACTGAATAGTGCCCAATCTTTTGCCCCAATAGTCCCCCTACGTTCTCGATCAAGTTTTCGAGCCTCGTAAGATGGGAACTAGGCATGACCCCAAACCCTTAAAAGGGAGCCTAAACCCTAACCCCCTAAACCCGAAACCCTAAACCCTAAATTAACACTACAAACCCTATACACCCTAAAGCACGGTTCGGGGCCTCGATGCCCTGAACTTCGATCTTCGAAGTCTCTAAGCCCTGAAGACTAAGCCCTGTTTACAGAGGTTTGGGGTTTAGGGTTTAGGGCTAGGGGGCCCTGAAAGAGGGCAGGGACTGAATGCCCCGCCCTTTGGGCTGATAGAGGGTGTCTCCTACCCTCGGCTGCTTCTTCGCATCTGGACGCGACTATTCTAACCCCTGTAAACCCCAAACTCTTCCTTCAGAACCCCAAGACTACTTCGCCTTACCCCTTCTAAAGCCCAGGCTCTTAAGAACCCTAAGACAACTTCGATGTTTGCCCATGAGCCTGACAAGGGGGATTTGATCATCAGAACCTACAAAGAAAAGAAAGATTGGCTCTTAAGATGGCAGTAGTACCTCAGGCCACCCTTGAGGCTTCGAGCCTCTTCTCCAGCAAGTGTCTGTCAGTTATGAGTCGGAGACCCCGTAAAGGCTTTTCTAGTAGGTGTCTGTAAGTTGTGAGTCGGAAACCCTTAAAGGGTTCAGGGTTCAAGGTTCAGGGTTCTTCGAAACCCGCAGCAAAGGGTAGGAGTCTCGGCTCTAGGGGTTGAGGGACTTAAGTGGCTTCAGGAATTCGCGGGAATCGGGTGTTTACGGTTGTTAGCCCCCCGTGAAATTCCAAAGCTTTAGCCAGGGCGGGTCCGCCTCAGCCTCGCTTGGCGTCTCCAGTTCCGCCAGCTTTGTTCCTAGGATCAAGGCTACTATCTGCGAGAGAACCCCAAAGCATATATAATAATACTCCCTATGTTGCTTAGAAGGAAGACTACTTTGTGTTTTTGGGGTTCTGAAGCAATTGGTACTAGGATGTAGGGGTTTCACGGCGTGGACCTTCACGCAAAGGCCAACATGGGTGCCACCCTACACCCTAAACCCTCAACCCTCAACCTTTATTTTTGCTGCCGGGCTGTTGCAGTTTGCCGGGGTAAGTTTTCCCAATACTCCCTAAACCTACAGCCCACACCCTAAGTTCCATGTTGCGAGATGTTGCGAGGACTTGCTTTGGGCGAACCAGTCGTGCACCTCCTCAGTCTAGAATTGCGCCTGAGGCCCATCCCATCACCCCTAATCTGCACCCTGAACCCTTTTTGAGCAACGGGTTACCCTGAACCCTAGACCCTAAACAACCCTAAACCCATCTAACCCTGAACCCTAAACCCTAAACCCTAAACTCTGAACCCTGAACCCTAAACCCTAGACCCTAGACCCTAGACCCTACCCATCCCATCTTCAGCCTAACAACTGAGGGCTTGCTCGCGCAGCCGCGTCCAGCCTTTTCGGCCCTGGCAGGTTCAGGCTCAGGGTGCGGGGCTTAACTTGGAGCTGAACTCAAATCATACTCTTGGAGCTGCTTATTCTAAGTCCCCTCATAGAACTTGCAGGCAAAAGAATAAGCTTGAGATTCTTCAGGTAGACTGTGGGCCCTTCTTATTCCAAACGATCAGCATACCACCACACAGACCCAGAGGCCCAAAAGACATAGGGTTCAGCCCTGAAATTCATGTGCTAGACTTGTGTGGCCCCAACATGTAGCAGAGCCTCAAGCCCACTGCGCCTCCCCCCCTCCTAAGCCCCCCCAAAACCCCCTCCCTTCCCCCGCCCCTCCCCCCACCCGAAACCCTTCCCACTCCTCCCCCCCACACCCACCGCCACAGGCCTTGCAAACGCAGGCGGCGGGGCTGGCAGGGCTCTTGTCACCCTGGCGGATGCGCATGTTTTTGCCGGTTCTCTTTCTAGACCGGCCCTAAACCCTCTAAATCCTAAAATATGAATACTTCAATAACACCATATAATATACCTTACTCATACCTTCAGACTTCCTTCATGGAGCCTTAATACCACCTTCCGCAACAATGCCTTCATCATACCTGGCCTTAATAAAACCTTAACAATACCATAATGGCATCTTAATCATGCCTTAAGAACTCATACCTTAGTAAATTCCGGATCTTTGTTTGAAGAACACCGTAGAGGAACCGTTTCGACAACACTGCAGTTTCCATTGGGTACCATACGGCGTCTCGACCCACAACCCTAAAAGCGAAACTCTGGATCCTGAACCCATGGATCCGGAACCCCTGCTCATTATAGTTCTCGTAGGATCAAACATAGCCCACAAAGCTTCCATGGCTTTGGGGGAGGAAAATACTGCACCAATGTTGGGGTACTATTTTACAAAAAGATCATTTTTGGTTCCTTATTGGGTTGAAGTATTCCTAAACATGTAAAATGATTTTCAACACCCTACACCCTAAACCCTAAAACCCCAGACCCAGTATAGGGGTCAAGAGCCTAAACCCTAAACCCGAAACCCTAAAACCTAAACCCTAAACCCTAAACCCTAAACCCTAAGCCCTAAGCCCTCAGCGAAAGCCTCGGCATCGCCCGCCCCTATTTCCGCAGCTGCCATGGCCGCCTCGCCTCAGGGCTGGGTTTAGGGTTCAGGGTTCAGGGTTCAGGGTTCAGGGTTCAGGGTTCAGGGTTCAGGGTTCAGGGTTTAGGGTTTAGGGTTTAGGCCGCGCACTTGGCTTGGCTTGAGCTTGCTTTGGGAGTTTTCGGGTTTATAGGGTTTAGAGGGTTTAGGGTTAATTGGGTTGATTGGGTCAAGGGTTTATAGGTTTAGGGTTTCTAGGATTTCGGGTTTATAGGGAGGTTTGGGGTTTCTAGGGTTTAGAGTTTAGGGCTTAGGGTTGGGGGGGGGGGGGGGGGTGTTTGAGCTGGGTCTGCTTTTTACCCTAAACCCTAAACCCTAAACCCTAAACCCTAGACCCTAGACCCTAGACCCTAAACCCTTTCGAGGCTTTGGGCCACCTGGTAAGCCCTAACAGGCTTTGGGTCGACAAGGGGAGGTCGGAAGTTTAGGTTTAGGGTTTGAAAGAATGTTGACGAGGGTTTAGGGTTTAGGGTTTAGGGTCTAGGGTTTGAAAACTGTCGCAGGCTACAAGTTGCAGGGCCCAAAGCCCTTTCAACTGAGGGAAGGGCCAACAACTGGAATCTAGATTCGGATCCTTCTTGGTGCTGTTACTTCTTTTTGGCTTGGAGTTTAGGATCTTTTCTTTTTATTCACATACTAGGGGACTTGGGGATCCTTTTTTTAGAAGGGATGTCAATCAATTCGCGGCGAGGCAAGGAATAGAGAAGTTCACTGCAAGAGGGTTTAGGGTTGGGATGCGCCCCCTTTCTTCTAACAGTCCTTCATACGGATCATAGTAGGGGTACTAGAATCCCTAGGAAGGGCGTATGAAGGACTGTTTGTATAAGGGGGAACGTCCCAAGCACCTACTTGCATGTAGAGCTTCGGGCCTACATATAGAGGACTTGGAGAACTCTATGTTCGGGAGGCTGGAGCCTGGAAAACGAAAGACTTCCTTAAGAATTCTGTGGACCAAAACCTGGACACTCACGAGATTGAGATTGGTGAGGTGATTAGAATGCTATTTTGGCAGATTCACTTGCCTTCATGAGGGATTTTGTTTCATGTGGATCGCAGAATTCTCAGTGGGTTGTCCCAACCACGAAGAAAGCAGCTAGGTTTGGGGGATCTTGAAGTTACAAGGCTTTTAACCTCAGAACCCTTCAAAGCAGTTCTTAAGGGGCTCCCCTATATAATCCTTTGTATACCCTAAATGCCCTAAATGCCCTAAACCCTAAACCCTAAACCCTAAACCCTAAACCCTAAACCCTAAACCCTAACCAAGTTGCTGGCAGCCAGTTTGGCTGCCTCGCGGCCGCGCCCGACGCCGATTCGGCGAGGTGGGAGCCGCTAACAGAGAGTGCAGACACGATGCTTAGGGTTTAGGGTTTTAGGGTTTTAGGGTTTTAGGGTTTTAGGGTTTAGGGTTTAGGGTTCTTAACCCTTCAAGGGAGAGGTTTCCCGTACTTTACTCTTGATATGGCCTTTATCTTCCCCTAGAGGATCTTTAAACAACAGGGTCCGCAAACCCAAAGGTACAACCTACGGTAGCCAAGAGCCCGAAGTACCTAAGGGGGTTAAGGTTTAGAGGTTGGGGTTTATGGGGTTTAGGGTTTAGGGTCAAGGGTTAAGGGTTGAGGGGTTTTGGGGTTTGGGTGTGAGGGGAGGAGTTGGGGCCTACGCCGCAAGCCCCCTTGACCTTCAGGGGTGGTTGGGGCTCCCAAAATCTTGTTAAAGCATCACCAGTCCCTAAACCCGAAACCCTAAACCCTAAACCCGAACCCCTCTTGCAAAAAACGCCCTAAGCCCTAAACCCCTTTCCATTTCGGACTCTCAAAGCGACCTGCGCAGGACCCCGAGGAAAAACCCCCCCCCTCCCCCCTCCCCCCGGAACCCCTTTACTTCAGGAACCTTCCCTTTAGACCCTTTAGATGCTAATCAGGGTTTAGGGTTAGGGTCCCTTTAGATGATGATCATATTCCCTAGTTGAGGAGCCTTCCTTCCTTACATCATATATGTATAGTCTAAAGTTGGCTTTTTTACAGCTACTACTGTATTCACAAATCATGACAAAAAGCAGAACTGAAAAGGATCACGATGTAGCAAGATATATACATATTTTTATATATGTATGTATGTATATATATATCTATATGTTCTGGGAAAGTGCCCCGGACCCTTTTTTCCGGATCGCTCGCGGCAGGAACGCCGCGCGGTCCGCGCCGCAGTCCCTGGCAACTGTCTCATATGGGCCTCTTGGTGCGTAGTCTTTCTAAATTTTAAAAAAACACACGTAAATAAATATACATTTTTGTATATATATATATATATATGGGGTCTTTTAGGGTTGAGGGTTTATCGTTTAGGGTTTAGGGTTTCTGTAAGGAGATGACAGTGTTCTGTCTAGACTTACCATGGGGTTGTTCTCAGGTTCCTGACTACCTGAAGATCCCAAAGCCTAAGGGTCCATGTACCTGTACAGTATATACTTAGGCCCTAAAGCTACTATATGGGAACCCCCTTTAAGGCCCAAGTATATACTATATAGGTACATGGACCCTTAGGGAAAGCCTGCTTCCTACTTTCCCATTGGCCACCCAAGAATCCTATCAATGGGGGTTCTGCAAGGTTCGGCCTTGTTGTTCTGTCTTGCGCCCGAGTGCGGAAACTTAGGCTGCATGAGTGATTGAGTTTAGGGTTTAAAGTTTAGGCTTTTGGGGTTGTAGGCCCAAGATGAAGATTGGAGAGCCAGCTTCCAAACGAAGCAAATGGTTCTTCCACGCGCATCGAAGCCCTAAGTTAAGCCCCACAGCACCATGAACAAAAAAAAGCAAAAACATCACATGAAGCACCTATAAAACAGCATAAGCCCTGTATGCCCCTGCAAAGGCTCCATGTATCTTCCGAACACCCTTAAACAGTCCTTTGGCGGCAGTGGCGGCGGCTTCCCTTGCAGGGCTTGCAGGGATATCTGGAAGGACCTCCAAACTTGACACCCCTTGCTGCTTGAATAACTGTGCCCAAAACAGCCATTGAGGGATTCCTACTCTTGTATACTGGAATATTATTCTACCATTTCCTAAGTGGTAAGGATTCCTACTCTTGTTTACTAGTATATGAAACCAAAATTTCTTACATTCTAAACATTCCTACTCTTGTTTACTCGTATATTATTCTTAAAATTTCTTGAATTGGAAGGGTTCCTGCTCCCCACCTCCCCCGCTACCCCCCCCCCCCCCCCCCCCCCCTCCCCCTCCCCCCCCCCCCCCCTCCCCCCCCCCCCCCCCCTCCCCCTCCCCCCCCCCCCCCCCCCCCCCTCCCCCTCCCCCCCCCCCCCCCCCCTCCCCCTCCCCCCCCCCCCCCCCCCCCCCTCCCCCCTCCCTCCCCCCCCCCCCCCCCCCCCTCCCCCCCCCCCCCCCCCCCCCCCCCCCCTCCCCCTCCCCCCCCCCCCCCCCCTCCCCTCCCCCCCCCCCGCCCCCCCCCCCCCCTCCCCCCCGCCCCCACCCTAGACTTTCTGGTGCTTGGATGCTTGACCTGCATGGGTATGTGGAAGAAAATGCATCTATGCAGTCATATCTACACATACACCTATACACCTATCGTTCGGCCCATTTACTTCAGGCTTCGTGGGCTCGGGGCTGAATACATGTCCAAGGCCTGCAGCTTCGGAACGCCGCACGAACGTTCTGCCTATCTCGTGCTAAGCTAACTTGAATCAAGTTATGGGTGTCTCCCAAGTCAGGGGGTACACTAATTCAACCCCTCCCCCATTAAAAAAAACACACACACACACACCATAAGCCTTATTATTCGAACCTCCTATTTTGGCGGCACTTAAGAAGGGAACCTGGAACCCAGAAAAAGGGTCAAAGAGTACCACGAGTCTATCAAGAACCCTAAACCTCAAACCATAAAGGGAGGTAAGCCCTAAACCTGAACCCTAAGTTTCCAACCCCCAAAAAAAGGGGTAAAAGGGTACCACTTGTCTACCACCCTAAAACCCTAAGCCTCTAAGCCCCTAAACCCCTAAACCCCTAAGCCCTAAAACCCCAAAACCCCTAAACCCCTAAGCCCTAAACCCCTAAGCCCCTAAACCCCTAAACCGCGAATATCAACCATGCTTTTCAGCCCAGCAGCCAAAGCAAAGGGCCCGCTTGCCTTCGCGGTTTGTGTCCAAAGGAGACGTGCGAAGAAACCAAGGAAGGGCTTAGGCTAGGGTTTAGGGTTTAGGGTTTAAGGTGTAGGGTTTCGACTCTTGTAGGGTTTAGGGCTGTGTGCCCCAATCGATGTTGCCTGATCAGTAGCCGCCTGTCTCCCTAAACCCTAAACCCTAAACCCTAAACCCTAAACCCTAAACCCTAAACCCTAAACCCTAAACCCTAAACCCTAAACCCTAAACCCTAAACCCTAAACCCTAAACCCTAAACCCTAACCTAAACCCTAAACCCTAAACCCTAAACCCTAAACCCTAAACCCTAAACCCTAAACCCTAAACCCTAAACCCTAAACCCTAAACCCTAAACCCTAAACCCTAAACCCTAAACCCTAAACCCTAAACCCTAAACCCTAAACCCGAAACCCTAAACCCTAAACCCGGAACCCACCAAACTCCGCAGCAGGAGCCGCAACCAAGCCCTAAACGCTAAAACCTGAACATGGAAAGGTCTTCAGACCCGGGTTGTGCTCCAAAGAAAGATACCAGGCAACACCCGAACAACATTGGTCATCTCAGAAAAGCAATGGAGCTTTCACTGTGCAACCAAAAAAAGTTTTCGGGTTTAGGGGCAAGTAGGGCCGAGAAAGCCCGAACTAGCTATCAGAAACCAGAAGAAAGGGGGGGGGGGAGGGGGGGGGGGGGGAGGGTCCATTTTGGGGGGTCTCATGTTGTTTACACGGGATCCTCGAAAGATGGGAAGAAGGTTCTTCTGGACAACCTCAGACCCCAGCCATCCCTGTACCTGGCAACAAAAGCTAGAAAACCACATGTCATGGGTTTC